TGCAGAAGAATTGCTCTGGCATAAGCTTATCAAGAATAATTTAATATAAATTGATCAAATTTAGGCTATTTAGTCTTATTGGAGATGTTTTGTTTATGTATTTGTAATGCATCTGTTGTTTTGAAGAAGAGCTCTGTCAGCTGAGCACCTCAGTTGGTGTAAAGCTGAATGCTCAGCTGTAGTCAGTGTAAACTGATATATGGCAGTTCCAAGAAGAGTTTCACCTTGTCGTCTTTAACTTGACTGTTTATCTCAAACAGTGACCCGGATCTTGATTCTCTACAAACTGTAGAGCAGTCAAAGATTTTCAAGCTGATCTTTTCTGCTAATTTTTAAGGACTTAATGTACTGATACAGAACATCACCACGGAAATCCTTTGTTCTCTGACCCTTCAGTTTGAGGGTGAGCTTACATTTGGAGCTGTGTTCAGCAGCAACAGTACCTTGACCATTACTTTGTTTTTATTTTTAATTATTTCCTCTTGTTTTCCTCCATCCTGCTCTTGCTTTTTCCGCTCTTCTAGTAGAATAAAGATGGTTTTAGTTTTTATAAGGATTTATGGGTGCAGTATTCCTGTGTTCTGTTTGTCTTCCTTGAGCAGCCTGTGGAGTATTTTTGATGAACACAAAGTCATCTTTTGTTATCTTGTCCAACCCAAACTTAGTTTATCCTTTATTTTATTTTTCCTGGAAAGAAATATGTGGACAATCAGTGGCTGAGAATAATTATGAAATATCTAACTTCTTCTGTGTAAGACAAGACATTGCCATCTAAAAGGTGAAACTTGCTGGGTTGCTGAAGGTATTGAGGTCAAGGTGAGAGACCATATGTTAATTCAGAACTGTTTCCCTGTCAGGTCCATGATTCTATGCAAGACAGGAGTCCATCTATGGATGAGTTAGGGGGAAATGGAAAATTGTATCATGTGCTTTGCCAGCAGTATTTCTGTGCATGTGAGGCCAAACCAAATTTCTTCTGAGATCTATGAGCTGGGTTTTTCCATGCTGCAGACTGGATGTGGGCACTGTATGGTTGTTTTAGACCAAACCATTTCAACTTGCACTGAAATCCTTGCAGAAGAATGTGCTTATGTAACAACCCTTCTTTCATTTAAAGACTGCAGCATTCTTAGGAACTGGGGATCCAGCAGAGAAAAAAAGCATTTGTGGTAGAATTAGGTGTTGAAGCTTATGGAGTTTTGAATTTAAAAAAAAAAGAAAACCTGAAAAATGTTAAAAGAACAGACTGTGTCTGATTACCAGGCTATAAACCTTTGCATGCATTGCATGAACATGGGGGAAAATTTTCTAACAGGCTGGTGCTATTGTGTGAAAGTGGATTTGAGCCAAATTCCCAGATTTGAAACCCCATGAACTTCAGTAGGCCCAGGCCAATCCTTGGCTTAGGTTCATTTCAAAGCGTTGCAAGCGCAGAACACAAGTTTGAACATTCCCAGTAGCAACTGGAGACCCAAAAGGGGAAGGTTTGCATAATCCAGTCGCTGCACACACAAGGGACACATCAGTGCCAACGTGAACATTTGCCCCTTGATCATCATGAGAATGTTTTTAGAGCATCTTTGAAAAACACCCTGCAGGAAATGTTTCTGGCACATGTTCTCAGTACTTGAATCTGTTATCTCTTTCCTGGTAAGAGCTTTATGTGGCTTCTCTAATTCTCCCCAGATAATGAACTTGCCCATTGTCCTCAGCTCCGTGTGCCAGCCCTTTCCTGGCACAGCAGCTGACATCAGGTTCCTGGATCACACAGTGGTTTCCTGCTTGGAGAACAACTGGTTTATTACAAGTTGAAGCAATACTGCCTTCTGGATGGGGACTGCAGTGGGGAGATTTCAACAAATTATCAACCATACCCAGACCAGCCAAAGAGATTTATGTGCCCATTTTAATCAGCATTGTGCTCATTTATTTGCTTTCCCTTTCTCAGCAGAGCAAACTCTGGTTTCCTCTGAGTTGTGCAGCTGCTGTAAAGGGCAATAAGACAGCAGTGTCAGTCACAGCAGTGCTCCTGCACTTGCTGCATCCCAGGGTTGTGTCTGGAGCTGGAGAGGGGAAAAGTTTAACATGAAAATGAGCTACATGCAATTAACAGTTTATGGGGAAGCTCGTAAAGGATCCAGCTGGTGGTGGCACTGGGCTGTTAAATGGCTCTTCTGAAGAAACTGGAATGAGAAATTTTAAAAAAATACACACATGCACTGATCAGTTAACAGAAGTTGTCAGAGCATCCTGGAATATTTCTTATTAATAAGAATATAATTTCCAGGTTCAGCGTTACACATGCTTTGTGTTTGTCCCATGGAGAAACCTAAATGAGCATTTATCACTGAGGATTCTGGAACAGAGATAGGAATACTTTATGATTCTGTGACAGAGCTATTTCTGTGACATCAGGATATGCCAGCTGAGCTGGGCATGTGACTAAGGTGCAGTTTATGCCAGTTGGCTTGATTTAGTGTAATAATCTATAATTAATTATAATTCTGTATATTGATATTTAGCTGTGATTAATCTATAATTCTTTTTAAATATAATTTGATCATAAGATTCTATTAACAGATGTGACACAAACTGCTTGTTCTATTTCAGAATCTGTGGTATATTATTAGAGCTCTACAAGGTTGACATGTGCATGCTGGACTATTGAAACAAGCTGCAGAGAGAGCTTTGTCATAATATCAGTACAGCAAACATCTCTCTGACTCACGTACCCCCTGCAGTGATTTTGTAAGTTAGGGCAAAATTTAGAACTCTATTTGTTATCTGGTACATATTTTAAAGACATTGCCAACAAAAAGCTAAATTTAAAAACTCTGGCTTTTGTTGTTGGGGATTCCAGACAAAAGGAACATGTGTCAGCAATTTTAGACTTAGTGGCCACGTAATTGTAAAATATCCTTTCTCTTTTTTTTTTTTTTTTGTTATAGATGCTCTTGGATGACAAAACTAGATAAATTAATACTGGTGTCTCTTCAAGAATTTGCATTGCAATGAAAAAAGGAAGTGCACAGAAGACAACTTTTCTTCTGTTTGTGTGTATGACAAAGTTATTTTGTCCTAAGAGAATGTTGCTTTTATTGGTTTGATTTGACTGGCCAGTTGGCATGGACAGCTTTGGATCCTGCACATATATCCTGTTATTATGTGCTTTATTGTATCATGCCTTCATTTATGAATGAATTTTTCTGCTGCCTGATGGTATTTTATTTCTCTAAACTGGCTGATTAGTTGGTGGGATGGAGAAACTGACTGTGACTTTGGCTATAGAAAATGTGACAGACTGCCCAGTGCAGGGGAGGGAAGTGTGTTAAACTTCAAATCCATCCTGCATGGCAGGGTCAGCACAGCTGAGCTGGGAAACGTGGTGTGATTTCTTCCCAGCTCACACCTGAATCATAGACCAGGATTAATACATAGCCCAGTGCTTTAAAGCACCTTCAGGAGTTGTTCCCCAGGCTTGCTGACTTCTTAACCATCTGAGGTTACCTTGGAGTTAACACCAAGGGAGGTCTGACCTTCTGTTGGCAGGGGTGGCTTTCCTCCAGAAGGAGTTACCTGGCGTATACCTTAATACTGAGATACTGCTGCCTAGTTCCATATCTCAAAACTATTATGTAGTGATGGATGGAAGTAAATATTTAGAGCAAAGGTAATTCTGAACTTAGTGTTTGGCAGTAGGTTTATTTCAGAACTTCATTTTTGGACAGAGACTTTTAGGTCAGTCTGGTGAGGGAGACTTTGACTGTATTCTGCATGTTATCTTCAATTCAGTACAGACAGAATAGGTGCCTTATATTGTGTAAACCTGGCTACTTATACCACAGTGAAGAGTTAGGCTTGTGTAGTTTCATTTACTGAGAGATACTTACCTTAAACACGTGGGTTTGTTCATGGCCATGTGTTGTCAGCACTGGTGGCTGTCATCTAAGAGCCTGGCAGCTGTTCCCCTGCATTTCTCTGGACCACTGTCACTTTTGTGGCTGCATCCAGCCCTTGAGCATTGTGGATCTGGTCCAGTGAGTCATTTCTAGTCTGTGCTAGGTTTTGTAGTTATCTCTTAGCACTTGAGCTGTAGATGTGAAAATCCATTCTGGTTGTTCTTTGGAGATAAGCAGAAGGATTCTGTGTGATACTCAAATCCCTGATCTGAACCTGTCTGTAGTAATCAATCTTCTGTTTTAAATGAAATAATTAATCTGCTACCCCCTTCATACCTTTGCATGCATTTCCTCCCTCGTGTCCTCTCTTGGGTTGACTTGGTGGCTGTCATCCCTTTGCCAGGCTGTGCCTGTGATGTGTGATTCTGAGGGTTGTAGGGAGCAGGGTCTGGCCCTGGACCTTGCACAGGCTTGTGTTGCTGTGTGGTGAATCAGATCATCTCACTGATCTGTCTGAAAATAAACTTTACAAATGCTCTTGACATGTCAGTTTTTTAGTAACTTTAAAAGGGCTCCAGCACAAAGGCTGTTGTTACAAATCCTGGATCTCATCATTAAGGAGAGAAGTTTGGTCTTTTGTGCATCTCACCATCCTGACAGCTCTGACTGAGCTGGTGCTGTGGTGAGAGTGTTCTGCACAGGCACAGGGGAAGAACAGCAGCTGTCAGGGGACTGGTAAATGTTGCTTTATCCACAGTTCTGGTAAAGAGTGGAGCAAGCAGATCAAGTCAAAAGCTGTTCCTGCTGTCATTGCCTTGTTTGCCTCCAGGCATTTGACTCTGCCCTGGAAGTTGGTCTTGGGCCAGCTGAGGAAAGAGCCATCACTCCTGTGGCTCAGAGTCAGCTTTGCTGAAATCTTTAGTTAAACCAGCACATAACTGATTCTCCCCTGTGAGACCAGGATCAAGATTTTTTTTTTTGTATTTTTTCCCCTAACTTGGCTAGTGGCATTCAGCTCATGAATTTCTTGTTATCTTAGTTGCTAGTAAATGGAATTACATTTATGTACTGAACACCAGTTGCTCTCCCTGGCATTTCTAGGACGAATCCTGGACTTGAAGACGGGGACAGTAAAGAAAGAAGGCCAGCAGTCCTCCATGAGAATGTGCATGGGATCCAGGCGCTCCTTCATTTGCAGGATGAGGTATGCATTTACCCTGTGTTCCACCAGCGTTCCAGTCCTGGCTCAGCTTAGACTTCAGACATTTTGTGGCACTAATTTGGCCTTGATTACAAACTAAAGCTGTAATGACACACTGCCATGAAGCATTTCTAGAATACTTTATTTAGGAACTGGAGTGAAACTGAAACTAGTCTTCCATAAGGATAAAACAGCACCTCATTTCTGTTGTAGTTATTTTTATGAGTGTGGGGTGTAGGTTCCTTTTTACAGAGAACTTCATGACAGTTTCACCCCTGGAACTGCAGCCATTCTTTTCTAGTAAAGTTACTCAAATCGATACCTTGGGAATGAAGCTTTCGCAAGTGTTGTGAACACCCAGCTCTGTGTATTTTTTCAGCAAACCAAGAATATTAAAAGAATCTTAAAGATAAACAAGAATTCAGTTGCAAACCTGCCAGCTATGTAGGAATTAGCCTAAACCTGGTATGAATTAACCAGATGTCAGCTGGCTGATGCTAGATAAATGAGTAATTGTTAGAGGGTTTTTGGTTTGCAATTTTCCAACTTCTCCTGCATTGTCTGGGCTTCTTTAAAGAGATTTGTCTGCCCAGTGATTTTTTTGGGGAGGGCTTGTGAGCACTTCTCTTGTTTTAGTGCTAACAGGCTAAAATGCCTGTTGATATTGCAATAAATTTTTGTCTGTGGTTAGGAGGGGAAAGTACATAACTGTATCTGTAGGCTCTGTCCAGTATAAATGGTGATAACAGCACTGAAAAATTCATTACAGAATGAAACACAAAGCACAGTATTTGACACATTAAACTACAGATACCTGTACTTTGGTAATGTGGTGGGTTTTGTCCAGTCCTGTGAGGGTGCTGAATGTATGGCTCTTGGGTGCCTTTGTAAGGTGTTTATAGACTTTATACCTGCAAGATCAGGCTTCAGAGCTATAGAACCTTTCACTCTTTAACTGGGAGGGAAGAAATACAGCCCAGCAGAGCAGCACTGAGAACACTGCTTTTTCTTCCTCCCAAGATGCACATCATGTCAGGAGGACTTGTTTGTTCAAAGAAAACCAGGCCTAGTGTCCTGTTTGCAGTTGTTCCCCAGCTTTCAAAACAGTTCAGATTGCAGTCATTTCCTAGCACCCTGATGTTGTAAACTCCAGTGCACGAGAGTGACTTTACACATGCCCCTAACCCCACTGTTTTTGTATTTCTAAATCTTATTTTAGTTGTTCACTTCTCCTTGGCAGTGACTGATAAGAAAAAAAATTAAAAGAATAAAAAGAAGACCTTCTGGGAAGAATGGGCCTCAGATAATGTGAATTTTCCTTGTGGTTTCTTCTTTCATTGTTATTATTATTCCATTAAAAATGCACTGCTTTTACCCTTCAAACTATTTACTCAGCTTCAGATGGATTGTTGAAATTTCACAGTTAGGCATACTTATAAATATCACAAAATACACATGAACAAGTGTTAAACAAAGTTACTTGACAGTGTAAATAGTTTGATCTTTCAAACATTATCTTAATGTCTGCAGACATTGTAGCTGGTGTATGGCAGTGGAATTTTTCTGTCCAGGGAAGCTACAGGAACACTGAGATTGGTTTGTGTGGATATTTGGTGGCCTGACATATTTTTCTCTAGTTTTCACCCCTGCTTTTTGGCATTTTGAAGTGTGTTTACTCTTTAGCCACCCTTGGGTTATCAATTTCAAACAGTCTTTGTACTGGGGAAGTGTGGAAGGGAATCTTTTTCTAGTCTCTTTCATTTTTCTAAAATAAAAAAGATTTTTATAGCACATCTAAAAATCTCAGTCTGTGGAAGCAGCATGTTTTACATAAACATGAATATGCAAAATTTTGCCAGGAATAAGTATCCATTATTGTCTGCTTATATATGGTAGTAAGGATCTCAAAATACATTTTCATCATGTGTATTCATATTCATTTTTGAGCCCTTTAAAATATTCATTTACTTTTAGGTGTGGAAATGCTCCTCTGGATCATTTACCTCTGAACAGAATAACTACCATGAGAAAAAGATACAGGTACTATTACTTAATTTACCACAAAGCAGCTGTAGTTGCCCTAAGCCCTCTCATTTGCCACTGGGTTAATGCGCACTCCAGGAGTGTTACCTGCACACACTGGATCCTTTTGCAAACAAAATCTCTTGCATGTGTCACTCAGATTCTTTGTCTTGCTCCAGCTCTGAATCAATCTTCAATCTCTGTCTCAGAGAAATATTTCAGAAAACAGGTACAGCTTGAATAGCAGCATAACAGAGCTGGCAGTACAGAACCCTGGTTGATTCTCTGGTGTTTCCAGCATAACTTACAAATACTGGTAAACCATCAGTAGCCAGGGTTTGAAAGCATAAAGCTGTTCTGCATGTCAATGTGATGTTTTTGTGTTCCTTGTTCATTCAGGAATGGTCTGGGCCCTGTGAAGGAAGGTGAAGCACAATATGCTGTTGTCCACTGCACTGGCTATATCAAGGCTTGGCCACCAGCAGGTTTGTATCCCTTGTGGAAGACAGTGTGCACCAAACTGTCCTTAGGACAGCTGAAAACCTGGCTCAGGTTTCCTTGCTGCTAGAAAAACAGGGAGAGTTTTAGTGGGGTGGCTGATTAAAGCTCACCTTAAGAAGCTTTTGGTAAGAAGAAATCAGCTGTTGTACTCACTCAGGGCATCCCTGTTTTCCCTGTGACACCCTTCTCAATTTCATTGCCACAGAGGACCTGTAGGAATTGCCAGTAATGCAGGATTCCACAAACTGGGGCCAACAGTTTTCTACTAATGTTGATAAACCAATATAAAAATGGTCTCATTTTGAGAAGGTGGGCACAAAGGATTGTGTACCTCTAGAAAACACCAGTTAATGCTTTTATACTTAAGTACTGAATTGCAAGCACCTATGTATGAAAATGTGTAATTTCACTTCAGACACATGGAAGTTCTCAGTAGTGGTGTTACTTAAGAATGTTCAGTATTTGTGATCAATTCTGTTTTGAGGCTGTTTTTCTGGGAATCAGGGCTTGGCATACTGCTTTGATCTACGGACAAAAACACTTACCTGCTGGAGCTCAATATTACATATGGGAATATTTACCTTTGAAAAATTCCAAGAGGAGACAGTGGAGCTCATCCAGACCTCATGATGAGTGGGGTTACCTGACCTTGGCATTTGCAGGAGTTGAAGAGGTTGTTTGTGATGTGACAGCGCCTGCTGGCACGGATCAAAGAATCGTCCTGCCCTTTTGTGGTTGTGCACCGCGGCCATAAATCACATTGATCCAGGGATTATGAGTCCTAAGAGGTGGTTTGTACCAAATGTGTGCAGTGGTGTGCAGACAGCAGCATGCAGATGTGAACTTCTTGTTGGTTTTGTGCTGAAATGCGGTTTTGGAAGCAGAGGAAAACTGCCTCTCTTATTGCTAATAGGATTTAATTGGAGTTAAGATGTTCCAATTTTGCTTCTATCTCAAAAGTATGAGACCATAGTGTCTGTAGAGTGCTCTGAAAATTGATGTTTTTTCTGTTTTGTTTTCTTCTACAAAAAGATTTACTTTTCTATTGGAAATTCTAAATGCAATTGAATTCAACCTTGATCTTTGGGGTGTCTGCTCAAGAAGGTGTAGGTCAAAATAAGATTTTGTTTAATCTGGAGGAGAATCTTGTTTCATGTTATGGGGTGTTTAAAGACATCTGACTGTTCAGGGGTGTATGTTGCTGATACAGAACTACAGATGTATGAATTGATGTCAGCACGAGGTCCTGATGTTGGCAGTGTGTGCCCTTCAGCCAGTTCTGCAGGACAGCAGCTTGGGATTAAAAGGTTCTTCTGGGTCTATGAGTGCCCAGTGGCCAGGTATCAAATCCCAGTTGGCATTAGTGAGGTCTTTTCCCCATCTCAACTCTTCCAAGACCTTGCTGCTTATTACTTCATGAGAAGTTTTTATTTCACTGAAGGTCAACTCATATGGGAGTTTTCATGCCTAGTGCCTTTGTGTCTCTCCAGTGTTCTGCTGTGTTTCCAGAAGAGGTTATATCCTATCAGCCTGGGCTTTGCAAAGACAATCCAGGCCACTTCTACTTTCCATTCTCAGAATGCATTCTCTTTACCCTTGTGACTTTTCTCTGCAGTTGTTCATATTTTCACTTCTCTAAACGTAGGTCACTGACACTACACGTTTTTATTTCAGATGAGATTGTAGTGATAGATAACACAAACAATATTTCCTGTCTTGCCTGGCAGTGTAGGATACAGCATCCTTCTCTTTTGTGTGGTGCATCCTGCAGGCCTCCTAAGACATCTGATATAAATTTATGTGTCTTCCAGGTTGCCTTTTTCTCACTTGTCAGCTGCAAATCTTGCTTTGAATTGTGTGATGTTTCAATTAGTAAGATCAAGTTCCATCCTATTTCTGTTGCTTTAGCTTATGACTGTTACTGTTCCCCAAGTGCATGCTTATGCATTTAGTAATGTTGGATTTCATCCCATTTCTATTACTCCACTCCTCAAAATCACATGGTGCTCCTTATGATATCCCACTGCTCCTCCACAATGTTAATTCCTCCAAACTATAGCACAGTCCTAAGGGATGTTTTAGATTTTGACAGCCTTATGTGGAATTTCATTGGACTTCTATGTTACCATCCAAATTGTTACTTCTATTAGTCATGTCTGGGTGCCTTTTCCAGGGCACACAGAATTGAATCAGGGCCTTTTTCATGAGTGTTTATTTGCCTTCCCAGTCTTCTCCACTTTGTGTTGATGATTGTCATGTATCCATTGACTTTCAGAGTTGATGGGAATATCCATGGGCTGAATTGTTCCCCTATATGTTTGAGTAAATAAGGGACAGCATCACGGCATTTGTTCTCATTTCCAGTGGTAATCCAACCATAATCTGCAAAGCAAATGAGATAACTACAGCAGTAATGGAATTTGCCAAGGCTTCTCTACCCTGTAATAAAATTACTTTGTTGAAATTAGCAATCCCTGCATGGTCTCTGGATTCTTGGGAATAAATGGGCTTGTGCTAAATCACAGCTGTTTAAAAATTCAGTGATCAAAAAGATGATTTTCATTTATTTTTCAGTTGCTAAGTGGACACTGGTATAAACTCCATGTCCTTTTCTTTCAAAGCATGTGCATTATATTGCTAATATACAATGTGAAGTGTACTTTCACAAGCAAAAGAACCAATATTATCAAATGCCTTTAATCTGTGCTTAGTCTCATTTGTTTAGCACTTGGTATTTTCTCTTTCTGGCTTGAGTTGAATTGTCTGTGGCCAGTGTTCAGTTTTTTTAGTCCCACACTGAACAAATCAGTGTTGATACAGAAGCATCAAGAGAAGAACTGCTTTGTGATCATTATTGGTGTGATAGACTATTTGACAGTGCTTCTGCAGGGAGGTGTCTGTGCAAATCTGAAGTAACCTGAGTACTTCAAACAAGTGAAAATGAATAAGCTACAGACAGCTGGTGGTGTATGTTAAGGACTAGATTTGTTGTGCTCAGGTCTGTGTTCAGCATGGAGACATTGGGACATCCAGCCTGCCTTTGTGGTTTTTGTCACTTGTGTGGAGCAGCAAGGCTCATGTATTGGCAGACTGTCATCAGCCCCTTCTTCACTGAGAAAGGGAAGACAAAACAGAGGAAGCATCCTGCCTCAGCATCCCTTCGGGCTGTGTGTTAATGGTCTGTTTGTTTTTCTCCATTGCACCTAAAAAGACAGGTAAAATTAAGATCAAGTGTAAAACCAGGCATGTGATGCCTACACACTTCTGTCCCCATGGTTATATGCTGGCCTCAAGTAATCAGGTGTAAACTTGGTGTGGAAGTCAAAGGAAAAAGATACTTCAGATGATGTTCCAGCCAGTCATTGTGTATGTTTGGCTAAATAATGAGAGTGTGGTGTTGGGTTATTTTGATTGAGGTAAAAGGACCCCTTGTTTGAAGCTGCCTGAGCAGCAATCCCAGCCTTGTCCCTCTGTTCCCAGTGAAGCAGCTCAGATGGAACTTGTGATCCTCAGCCTAGACAGTGCTTCACGTTCACAGCCAGTCATAAAACTGAGAAGTGCTGACCTTCTCCTGTTTTTTTTTTCCTGTTTTCAACTTAAGCAAGATTTGACTTTCTTCTATTTTTTTTCCCCATCTGAATACCTCATTCCTGGAAGGAAATGAGTCTTCTGTGGTCCATATGATATTTTCCTAATAGGTTTGTTTTGCTTTCTTTTTGTGGCATAAGATTTGGTGGAGAGAGAAGATAAAGTCTGTCAGGATGTTGGTAGTTTTCTGTAAATCAAAGCCAGGATCTGTACAAAAGCACAGAGTGAAGCAAAGAGCTAGATACATGTTTTGAAACTTCGAATAAAGAGTCAGAATAATGTTAAATTCAGATAATGTTGAAATCTCTTTTTTCTCTTTAGTTAAAAAAGAAACATTTTAGTCTTCCAAGTCAGACTTACGGTAACATCTTAACCACAGCATGCCAAAGCTGTTAGGTTATTTTAAAGTTTTGGCCAGAATCTGGACATTTGTGCAAAGTACTCCCTCTTCCAATACAAAACAAAATAGTTGCTTGAATATCCTTTGCAGTGCTGTCATTTTTAAGGCTTTGTTTATTTTTTTGAAGAGTGGTTAATTTAGTTTTTATTGGGACTTTTCATGAGATTTTTATCCTTAGTATGCCATCCACAGCCTTTTTTGTGAAAGCCTTTTTCCATTGTTTTCTATGAGAGATAAAGTCACACAGTGTAGTTACTTCCCAGGCAACTAAGAAGCAGTTCATCTAATGAAGACAGGCATTATCAGGGGATTGCTAGTGACCACTGGACACTTAAATTCCATCTTTTTAAAGAGTTGTAAATAATTTATTTTTTAGTGTAGTGAAATAAAACCATAAATCCACCAACACTGTTCTGTGTCTCACAGAAAATGTGGGGCAGAAGGGTAGAGAAAGAAAGCAGAAAAGGAAACTTTTCTGTTGTTGGAGCCGCCTGGAAGCTCATTGGGAAAACTAAAAATTTCCTTATGTCCACACCAACACATGCTGTTGCCCTGTGGGAAACTCTTTGCTGGTATAGAGGACACTTGGAAATTAAATATAACCTCTGATGGCACAGCATCCTCTTTGTGATGCTCACTTGCAGCTTAGCTGCCAGTTGTTGATGTGAACTCAGGCAAGCACAGCACAGTATTTATTATTTGAGAGGGGTGTATATTTGGTGTTGAGAAATAAACCCTCTCCCAGGGTTACACATAAAGAATGTGAATAACTGAAGGATGTTTATTTTGTTGATATCCCCTAAAGGTCATTTTTGTGGCTGCTTTCCTTCAAGCTCTTACAACTTTTTTTGGAGATAAGGATGGTACTTGGTGATGTTAAGGAGCAATACTGCATTGTGTTAGGAGCTGGACAAAGTGGTAGAAAGTGCAGTGCACATCTTCATTTACCTGTCCATACTGGAGTGTGTTGAATAGGAAGTGTGATAAAGCAAAAGTAAATCTCATCTACAAATGCACCCCTCCCATATAAAGACACCCAGAGTTTAATCTTTGGAAATACCAGCTGAAGAATAAAGAAAATAATTTCTCACTGTGGAATGCTGCCAGTAATAGCACCTACATTGCAGAGAAGCAGAAAAAATTTTGTCATATTTTTTCTCCAGGCACTTTGGGAAGGGGTTAACAATCCACTGGGTCATGTATTGATTAATTCCAGGCAGACTGGTTTTTATTCGTAGAGTGTGGCATAATCCAACTAAGATATTTTCCATTTTGCTATACAGACCAAATGTAATCCATCTTGGGCAAAAGGGGAAAAAAATTACAAAAATTAGAACAACAGCCTCCCTTTGTCAACAGAGTGACATCAGAAATAATGTTGCTTAACTAGGTTTAATTTTGGAGGCTGTTTATGTTACTTTGATTTTATTTGAGCAGTAGCAAGCATGGACCAAGTTCCTAAAAAGAAATCACTGTTGAAAGCTACAGAGAAAAAAAGATTATGCAAAGTGGAAGCTGTCCAGCTGTATCTTTGCTGTCCTTTGCAATACCCTGTGCCACTAAGGAAATTATTGGAGAAAGCTTTTGAGGTCAAGGGAATATACTTTAAACGTGTCCTTCTCAAATGGAAAACTCCATTTGAAAGGGATCTTTTGGTTAAGGTTGTCTAACTGGAATGCTTAGAGTTATGTCCTTAAAACAACACTTGTTGGATGAGATAATAATGCTCTTCCCTTGTAATGCTCCCCTTGATAAAATTGTAGTTATCAGTTATCAGGGGGCTGCAAGTAACGTTGTGCACCCCAGATTACTGAAACTTGTTTTGCAGTAATTTCACATAGTATACAAAAACATGGCGGGGGTTTCCTTCATACTTGGTGTATTTTATTTTATTGTATAGTTCAGTGTATAGTCAGAAGACCAAAAAATACCTGTAAAATGCTGCTTGGAAGCTGATTATTGGGTAAGATTCAACTGTTGTGATACAAAATAACATCCTTAGAGATTACTCCATTCACCAGCATTTTTAGTCATTTTCAGAGATGTCATTTACGGAAGTGGTGTGTTGTCATCCTCTGGACTGTCCGAAGATTGGCTTACACTGGGGATTATAAATGTGAAAAATAAAGTGGCTGTTGTTTCAGAAATGGTAGCTGCTTTGTAATTAATTTTGTTAATGCTTTTAAGTGCCTCTTAAATGATTCACTGCCTGTATGACTGAATTCCTTGAAAATCCTTGTGAAAGAGTTTACAGATCACTTAAAATAGGTCAGTGGTGTCACTCCTGGAAGAAGTTTTTCCAAGTGTTTTATACGAACTTGGTATCTCAGTACTGGAGTTGGGAAATAGCCTTAGCTCAAGGCTTAGCCAACAAGCAAGTAAACAGTGCTAATCTGAATGTTCCTATTTGTGAAACACTGAGATGGAAAATAGTACACATGTATGTTTTGAAGCTGTTCCTGTGTTTATAGTAGTCACTCCTGTTACACAGCTGGAACGAGCAGTGTTAGCAAAGCATCCGCATTTTTTTCAGTCTTTCAACGTAACAACGCAAGTTTAGTCCATTATAGAAAAAAAGTAAAACCAGCTGTTCAATATGAGCACAGAATCAGTGATTAATTTAGGCTGGGCCTTGTTTTTAAGGCTCATTATAAAATATTTTTCACAAAGAAAACTGAACATAGTGTGCATTCACTGACTGTGTTAAGTGACCCCATGGTTCCATAACGTGCTGGTGGAGCAGCACTCATTTAAATGTTATTTTCCATCTTGGTGTATAATGAAATTTTACTATCTGCTTTGTCTTCAGCAGCTAAAATTGCTGCTGTGAGTACTGTGTATACATGTGAGGTATATAGGATTGAGCACAACTGAGAAGCATCATCTAATCTGAACCCAGAAATAATGACTGAATCTTAGAGAAGAAAATGAGGTTATTTTGTAAGATTTAGAGCATGTAGAAAAGTACAGAGCCAGGACAGCAGCATCTCTGTTTATCCCAATTTCCTAATTATAACAGTATTTATTATTGTTTACTCCAGGAATGACTATACCAGAAGAAGATGCTGATGTGGGACAAGGTAGTAAATACTGCCTCGTGGCAATAGGAAGGCTTCAGGTAATGCCAGTCTTTCCATATACAAACTATTTCTGAGAGCATGATCCTTGTTCTGGTGTGGTTCTAAAATAATTGCACGCTGTTTTGCTACTAGACTGTAAGTTTTAACATGCCTCCAGGGTGTGTATGGCTGGGGTGTTTGAGGTAGTGAGAAACGTGGCAGTGCAGGTGCTGCAGGTGGTGGGTTAATGTGACCCCCAGAGCCAGGACATGCTCCCTGCCATTTTTCCAGTCATTCACTCTCTGACTAATCAACTGCTTGAAAAACTGTGGTTGCAGGAGTTATTCTGAAAATGGTAAAGATAAAGCAGTCAAGAGGCACTTCAGAAATCATAGCTTTATTCTCAGCATGTATTGTGTTATGCATTCAGATGAGATGTGAGCTGAAGGAACTGGGAGAAAAACATTTTCCTTCCTTTTTTTGTGTAGAGGGTTGCAATTGCTGTAGTGCATTTCTTCCTTTGTGCATTGCTGAGCAGAGTTCAGAGCTCTGAGCTAAAGCAGCTGTGGTGAATCTCCTTCCCCACAGCAGGGAGGACAGTTTTTATCTTCCTGGTCTGGGAATTCTGCCATGGGTGAACATGCTTGAGCCTCTTGCATGATCCCCTGCACTTGCTGCCATCTGCTAGGAGGGGATCACTCCTCCTGACAAGGTGGAATGACCCTTGCACAGGGACCAGACCCATTTTACCCGAGGTGAGCAGGTGTTAGCCATACCCATGTTACCCTGCAGGTGTTAGCACGTCTGCAGAGTGGCTCTGCATGGCCACGGCAGAGCTACACAAGTACTGCAGGATGAGTTGCAGGTTAATCATGCTTTCATAATCAAGAGTAATCTATTCCACTAAGGGAAAGAAGGAAGTTATGGGGGTTCATGTGTTACAGCTTCCAAAAAAATATGATTTCCAAGTAATGCCAAAATGTCTGTTACGTTAGAGGAGCCATTGTGGTATGTGAGGGCGGGCAGGAGGAAGCTCTGTGGTGGGTTAAATCAGAAAGGAGTCAGGGTGCACAAATTAAAAACTCTTGTTCTCTAACAGCAATTTGAAACCTTGCAGATGGTTAACTGGCTAATCAGCTCTGAATTAGCAAAAAAAAAAAAAAAAAGATTTTGCTCATTTTGCATTGTTAGCAGAGATAGCTCTGGAAGTTGTAAAAAAATCAGTGGTCTCCTTTGTATCTCCAGTGGGAAAGAATGGATATGAATTGGCCTGATAGCACAGATTTCAGGCAGAGAGTTCCTCTCTGTTGAGATTTGAGAAATATTTGAGAAATATTTAAAGAACAGTGTTTTTCATCACAAGCAGCCACTTACTAGTCTGATATCCCCTACCTCAGCCTCTGGAGGACTTGTTTCAGGTCCTGTAGGTGTTTCAAGTGAGGTTCATGTTACCTGAAACAGGAGTATTTAGTCTGAGCAGTTCTGTTGGTTAGATAATGGGTTGGTTTCATATCCTAGGACGGGTGGACTGCATTGTCCTCTGCAAGTCATTCATTCATGGTTGACAGAGATAGGAACCACAATGCCTGATGTGCTGCAAAGTGAGATGAATCCAGCTGGACATTCATCCTCAGTAAATCCTCCCTTCCTGGGAACTTCTGGTGTGTTTGTTTCTCTGCTGTGCTGTTAATCCTCAGTGATGCCATGGGGTGAGATATTTACCCTACAAACTGGCCTGAAGGCTCTTCTGCCATTTATCTGTGCTGTTGTTTCATTTTACTTCCTTCAGCTGCTAGCAGCCTGCCGGCAGATTCTGTCCTTTAGCTGTGGGTCAGCCGTGGCTTTGGGTGACTGGTGTGACTCTCTTGGCCCTAGGTGACCAGCTCTCCTGTGTGCATGGACATGAACGGCATGTCGGTGCCCACGGAGTTCCTGTCCCGCCACAACTCGGATGGAGTCATCACCTTTGTGGACCCAAGGTGCATCAGCGTCATTGGCTACCAGCCCCAGGTCTGTGGCCACTGGGAGTGTGGAGAATGGGTGCAGCTAGTGCAGAAAATGCCATTGCAGACATGAGGAACTTGTAGCTGATAATTCATACATCAGGCAGTGAATGCTGTTTGTTTTTCTTTGCTGTCCACGCCTCTGTGTGGGGTGTCTGTTTAGATCTGATTAAAATTCGAACAGCAGAGTGCTCTGAACCTTGCACAGCTTTCCAATGAAGACATTTCTGTGATAGGAAGTTAACAGTGCTTGGAGAGAGTTTTAGTCCTGTAGACCTTTGATTCTGCCAATCTCTTGAACAGTAAGCAAATATAATTTATTGCATCTATTTTCTTTTAGGCTTACATCTGCTCCTCTGAACAGCAGGCTAGTCCAGAACTGAGTAGAATAGCAAATGAACCACGGCTCTCCCTCAGATAACTCCCAGCACTTGCAATTTAGATGCAAAAGTAGTTCCTTGTTCATTTCCTTATTAATATTTTTTAAATTTTAAGTTTATAATAATAAACTTTATAATAAGTGTTTTTACAAAGATTAGTGCCGTAAAATGAGCTGTAGTAGCAGATGTCAGTCTTCTCAAGACACCATTTCACAGGTATTAGAAAAATTAGAAAATAGCTTCAACTTTTTTGTAAAAACTTGGGGCATGATGCCTACAAACCTTGTTTGTGTGGTTCTTCCCTCATTATCTGAGTAGTGTCGTTAAATGTGGTAGATCTTGTGTTTGCAAAAATGACTTGCAGGTCTACATGTGGATTTGTGTTGTAGTTTGGGTTTTTTACATAGCTTTATGTTTTATTGTAGGATCTTCTGGGGAAAGATATTTTAGAGTTCTGCCATCCTGAAGACCAAAGCCATTTGCGAGAGAGTTTCCAACAGGTGCTGTGTCCTGCTCCTTTTGTTCCACACTTTATTGTTTTGTTATTATTTTGTCACAGAAGTAGTTTTTATTTTATTTTGTTATTATGCAGGAGAAGAAGTGGCAAGATACAAAACAATTTTTTGGTCAGTTATTGATTGGTTAAGCGGCATAATAAATGGTAACATGGGTTGACAGTATTTTCAGAAATAAATCTTTTAGTTATATATTTGGTTTTTTGCTGCACAGAGTGAACTGCTTTGGAGATGCCTGTGTTGATCCCCCTATGTTAAGTGGTAACCAAAATTATTTACCTTCCAAGATGGGCTGTTGATTTGAAAGTAGTTACATCCCTCTGTGATGCTCGATTGTTTGTAACTGAGTTCTCTGCTAGCACAGATGATTTGCTTTTTCATGTATTTTAATGGAGTTACATCACTTTACATCAACATGTAATTTGGCCCTTTTTCTCTGTTAGAAATTGAAATGTACAGGGAAGTAACAAAAGAAATGCAACATACAGGAAGAGTTACTGGTTTGGATTAATTTTTACCATGGGCCATGTTTACATCAGCTGAATCAGTGACATTTATTCCATTGCAGAGCTTGCTGTTTCATGCATTAGCAGGGTTTTCCCTGAGCTGTCTCCTTATTGCTGGGCTTTTCAGTACCTTTCCTGCTGCACCAGAACACCCAGAACGGGATGTTTAACCTATTGCTGAGGCTCAGTTGATCTAAGTGGTTCCAGATTTTCTAGCAACAGCCAATAGCTCAACCGAGTTGTGTTGATCCATCTTGCATTGGATGCTGAGATGTATTTTCAGCTGTGAAATGTGGATATGAAGTGACTTCTAAGTAATTTGTATAGCCAACTGTTTGTTCAGGCATGGCATGCACAGACAGAGCCTCTGGGGGAAAAACAACTAAATGCTGTGTCCCTAGAACAGACTGTGAAACGGAGGTTATGGTCTCTGCAGAAGTGTTGGAGATGGTGTAAGATACTCTCCTCTTGAGCTGTTTCTCACCATCCCCCCCTTCAACAGGGAATATCAGCCCATGGCCAAGTGTGCCTCCAGTTCCCTTGCACAGACTGAGTGCAAGCAGCAGCCGTTTTAAATTCAAGATGTTGGTTCACAGGCTGTGAGAGTTCAATGCTTTAAACAGGTCACTGCACCCAGAACATCTCTTCTGCCCCAGCTTGGCTGGGGGTGTGATGCTGGATCCTCCTGGCAGGGTCTGTCACCAGGAGTCAGCTCTTCTCTCCCTCCTGCCCCCTCCCCTCCTTCCTGCTGCCTTGGTGCTGGCATGGACTTGCTGGGAGGGTTGAGGCCCTAATTCCTTCTGCTTGGAACTTCCAGCTTGGGGCTGGTTCAGCTCCCTGAACTGCTGCCTGGCGGCACCAGTGGCGCCGGAGCAGTGAGAACACATATGCTGTTTGTCAGTGGTGCCCAAATGATTGATTCCACTCATCTGTCCAAGGGACAGTGACAGAGAGCTGCCGGATAATGGCCTGTCAAACATCCTCTGCAGGGAATCCATCCAGTGATTGCCTGGGTTTCAGCAGGGCTGGCTAACATTGCAGTTAATGGTTTGGTCCTCCCCACGTTCCCTGGGAGGGAGATCAGGCTGTGGCAGGCTGCCAGTGTGTCCCTGAGCTCGGCTGCTGGGGACTCCACTGTCACCACTCCCTGCTGGGCATGTGCATAAGTGATTTGCTGGATCAGGGACCTACATGGTTTGCTTAAGGTCATACAGAAAGACAGCAGGAAAAAATGCAATTAGAAGTGAAAGTTCCTGCTCACTCAATCTATGTCCAATCTATGAAAATGGTGTGTTGTTTCCTTAGCAGGCAATGCCTTCTTGGGTTCCGTACAGTAGCAGTGTCATTTGGGCTGTTATTCCCATCATGCAATAAAAGACTGAAGTAAACAGTTTAGCTTTCCACCAGGTGGTTTTTATTTCCAAAGAATATAAGAAAGTAAAGTTTAATCATTAGCTTTGAAATTTTTTGTGCTGGTTTGTTTGTGTGCTCTGTCTTAAGACAGTTCAGGATTTTCCCACCAGCAATCTCTCTGCTTTATGGATTATTACAGAATTACTGTTTGCTTAATCAGGGTTTCAGGGTAATAGATCGTTCTTCGTTTTATTATTGTTAGTTTGGACTTAGAAGTCTCTTAATTAAAAAGGTAACTGTGATTTCAAATAAACTCTTTTTTCTTTTCTTCCTAAAACCTGAAAACTTGACACTTCTTATTTGCTGACAGTATCAGAACCAGGCTGGTGCATAACAGAGGAGGGAGGGAGAGGGTGGGTTTTGCAATTTTTGGTCAACTGCCAGTATCTATCTCAGAGCTTTATTTCCTTGGGAAGATAAATTCATTCATCAGGGTGGGAAAAATCAGGCCAGAATAAGATAGTCCCAAGGCTAAGACAAATAAATATAGGTTAATATCAAAGAGTCCAGTCTACAGCTGTTGGATACCCAGTAGAATACTATTCAGATTGAACACTCCACACCAGCTCTGTGGTTGCTGCCCTGGGTGTGGTAGTAGAAAATTGCTGATAAAAGAATGTTGCTCAGTGAGCTCAGAAAAACCCTATAAAAGCATTAAAAACCCCCAAGAAAACCAACCAAAATTCATTTACTTCATTAGGATTTTGAACTTTCCTGGGCTTTGCTAAAGCTTGTGTCTAATATTTGCATTGTCTTCTATTTGCATTCTTTCCATTTAGTCCCATATCCAGTTGATTAATTTGAAGTGCAAACCTCTGAAAAAAGCAGGATTGGAACATTTTTCTTAATCTAATTGCTTGTCAATGAAGACAGAGGGTAAATAGTGGGACTTCCACTTCTAGAGAATACAGGCTGCAGATAGCTAATAAAAAGTAATTTCCAGATGTTAATGATTAAGAATCCACAAGATGTGGCATTTATTTGCAGTAGACCTTCCCTTTCCTTCCTTGAGGCAGCCCTGAGATAGCCTGGTGGAAAAGCTGTAAAATATAAACAGAGATAGGCCAGGTAAGTGCCAGCTGACCCATGAAAGTTTTCTTCTGGCTTAACCCCAGGTTGTTGGATAACACGTGAAGTGCAGTTGCAGGGCCAGTGTGAGAAAATTGCTTTGAATGTACTTTATTTGGCTGCTTCTTAATCCTCACTTGGTGCCCAGCTGTTGACTTGAACAAAACTTCAGTTACCAAACCTGGACATCTGAATTCTTAGTTAGAAACACATAGCCTGTGCAAGTAAGGAATTTATACTGTTAAAATGGCCAGTGGCTTATCAGTGTTTTCTCCATTCAAACACTGGCTCACTTTTTTTAAGCCAGAAGCAAGTGATTCTTGTTAGCAATTTGCCATCCTAGAGAGTTTTTTAATATGTTTAGGGTGGGGGGAACCAACCCCTGGTGGTTTCTAGAAAAACAAAACATGAACACCACTGTTTTTAAGCATTGTCCTAATTTTGCTACTGATTTATCACATATATTAATTGTATTCCTGGGTATCCAATCAGAAAAGCAGTCAACCTCAAAATGACTTTTCTTGTGGGCTTTTGTTTAGCTGCAGTGATTGGTTTATGGTTTACAGATACACATTTAAAAGATCCTCAGTTTGGTTTCTGTCAATCTCTTGATAGTGTTTTGCATTAAAACAATCTTAAAGTTCCTGTGTTGGGATAACAGCACAACCTGATGATTGTCCTGAGTCTGTATTCTTTTTGTAAGCAGGCTGGAAACTGGCATTTTATATGACAAAGCATGAGGATTTCATCCTGAAGGAGATAGCTGTAAACATGGATAGGATTTTGCGTATTCTCTCCAAATAAAAAATTCCTCTGCTGTCCCCGTAGCTTTCTGGAATTCAAGTTTAAAATGCACCAGTTGCTGCTGTTGACTATTCATTTGCAGAGCAGATAGCAATCTCCTGTTATTAACCTTTCCAAATGGCTTTGCAGGTGGTGAAACTGAAAGGTCAAGTCCTGTCTGTGATGTATCGGTTTCGCACCAAAAACCGGGAGTGGATGCTGATCAGGACCAGCAGCTTCACGTTTCAGAACCCTTATTCTGATGAGATTGAATACATCATCTGCACCAACACTAATGTCAAGTATGTGCCTTTCTGGGTGCTCCCCTCTGTGCTTTTGAAGGAATTGTAACCATTCTTTTTCCCTGTGAAGCACATCCCAGTTTTTTTACAGATACTTTTTGTTTCTGTCTAACAGTGCAGGGTTTTGCTGCATCAGGAGATCTCCCTGTGTAGCTGTTTCTCTGTGTCATTATCCTGTGATGCTTCCAGGGCCTGGCTGCACTGGGGGGAAACGTCACTTATCTGTTATGTCATTAGACAAGGCCATTGATCTCAGTCCAGGCTGCCTTGAACTAATGCAGAGCTTCCAGCAGCACAGCAGCTGTCCTGATACTGGAGGAAGGTTGGCCTGACTCCTGAGCCAAAAGAAAATTCTGTGTCCATGTTCATTGTGATCATAGCATTCTGTAGTTCTGGGCTCTTCTGCTTCAGCTGTGTCTATTTTACGACCTAAGGAAGCTGGCAGAATTATTTCCTAGGAGGTTTGATTGGGAAGGGTTCCTGATAGTTTAGATTTGATAGAATATCTCCAAGTAAGGGGGTGATCCAACTGCTTATCTTAAGAGGAAAATGAAATCATCCTGTTTTGGAATTAATATTTTCAAAAATCTTTCATTTCATGGCCTCTTAGGAGGAGGTCACACTCAGAGTATGGTGGAGGTTGATCTCTGTGGACTGAGCAGAGATGCTTTTGGAGCCTGCTGAATTCTCAGCCAGTAACTGCAGAACCTAATCTGGCCTTGATTGCTTTATATTGTGAGGGTTTTTTAATATTTTTTCTTCTTTCCAATATAAACTTAATCTATTCTTAAAATTAAATCTGCTTCTGGTCTGACCAGAGATTTTTTTGCCAAGTCTTTAGCTGGGAGGAAATGACTGTGTTTGAGATCTCAGCCTGTTAGACCATATATCGGAAATGCTGAACGAGCAGTCTGCTGCTGGAGGTGCCTGCTGAGAGCTCCACTGCAAAACCAAACCTCTGGGGCTTTGGCGCTGGAGTTTGGAAGTGCCTCTGGGCATTCCTTGTCTTGTTTCTTTAGCCATGGCACATACCTGGACTGGAAGGGCTGTGCATTCACTTACATGGAACCCAGCATCACAATTGTTTTCCTCTTCGTGTTTTTCTGCATACCCAAAAAGTTGGGCTTAAACTGAATAGTTAAGCTCATTGAAAACAGGCAAATGTGTCTTAAAATCAGACAGCTTGTCTGCACTGTGCATCAAAATAGCTATTTCCACATTTCTGCTGTCCCATAATACTTTTTCAGATAATTTGTATATGCAAAAACAGGCCTGCAAAGTAAAAAACATCTTCTGAGGTTTGTCCCAGGCTGGCTTAATATTGTGCTTTGTTCCCAAGAGGCCACAGAGGAAAAAGTGGGGCTGGAGGCTTATGTTGTGTTGACTCTGGGAATGCTTTTTTCTGAGCCTGCACTGTACAGTTCAGCTTGGCACCACAGCACTCCCTGTGATGAATAGCACTGTGCCAGCTCCTGGCTCTGCTTCCATCTCTCTTGCTAGGTTTGAATAACAACCCAGAAATGCTGACCTAATATGGAAGTTGCCTGCTGCTACTTTGACAGAGGATGTTCCCTCTTTCCTGTCATGTTGAAAATGTTCTGAAATGGGCAAGATACAGCCCATTATACTCCTGCTTTTGAATAGTAGAAAGAATGCATTATTCAAACCGGTTTTGGTTTTTCCCCTTATTCTCTCCCAGTTTTCAGATTTCCAAAGAGAACTTACTGTAAAGTACTGCAGTTCCTGCCTGGTTTTGGATTTTTTTTTTCCTCCCTACATTTGGGGTCATGTTTTGACTTCTGATTTCCTAGCTGCCCTGAAGAGTTGTACGTCATGGTGATTTCCAGCTGCTCTTGAAGCTGCTGCTGGGACTGGTGGTTTGGCACCAGCCCTGGTGTGTGTGGCCATCCTTACGTGTTCCTGGAAGGTGCTCTGGGTCCAGCAAGGTGCTTCCCATGGAGACCAGGCTGGGATGCCTTGCTCTGCCCAGCTGGAGGCACAGAGACAGATTTGGTATGCCTATCACTGTGGTAACCTAGGCAGCACCATAAAAAACAGGCTTGAGGTAGTTAAAAATTCAGCATGAAATCGTAAAGACAATGTAGCCAAAAAAAGTGGGTTTGAATCAGTTTTTAACTGAGGATAGTTTAAAGCCACAGTGCATACATCTGTGTGTGTCTGTTAACAGAATAGCTCAAGCTGGTCAGTGAACAGCATTTTCCCAAAAGACTGTAGAGGGCAGTGATGATTCCAGTTGTGGAGGGATTTATTGATTTTTACTGTTATTTGTTGGCTTGGTTGTTCTGTTTCTTTTTTTGTTTCTTTTTTGTTTCTTTTTTTTTTTTCTCCTTTTTTTTAAATAAAGATACTCCTTTGGAGCTTCACACAGTGGAATGTCCAAACTTGCTTTTGGTACAGAAGGATAAGGAAATAATTAGGTTCAAATGTTCACTTGGTTCTTTGCAAAAAAAAAAAAAAAATAAAGAAAAAGAAAATAAAACTTCTCTTAGTTTCACTTGGGTGTAGTCATCCAAGAGAAACTTCCTGGAGAAATGAAGCATTTAACGTTTCACATTTGTGCTGTGTTGGGCTGTGAAGAAGAGTCCCCTGTTTGACCACGTCTTCCTGTGTAGTTGGGATTGTTTGATTTCCAAAGAGAAAAAAATAATTGTTATCACTGTTTATTTATTATACAGACAGAGCAGTGTTTGAATAAAAGAACGTTGTGGTGGCAGGTTATATAAAGGTCTTATATGTATGTATGTGTGTGTGTATATATGTATATGTATATATTTTTTTTATATATATATATATGTATACATCAAAATAAAGAAGATATGTATTTTTGTGGTCTGTATGGAATATCTGATGTTTCATTTTTGGAAGACGCAAGTCCTGGGCTGCACTGTGTGAATTTATGAGTCCTGTGGTTGTCCTGAGTCTCGAGATTGTTGTGTTGGAGTGAGTTGGCCCAGGCTGCTGCTGGATGAATCAGCCTGTGGGAGAGATGCTCTCTGCTCTGGGCTCTCCTGGGCCAAAATACTGAAGAGATCAGCTATGCTGATAAAATTGCAGTTGGTGATGGTGTTGGTAAGGACTTTATCGTGCTCTTGTGTCATCTGTGGTCTGACACTGCTGTTAGACAGACCCTTTCACAGGGCTGAGTTGAAGCTCTAGGCTAAAAGAGGGAGATACTGAGAATTTCTGAAAGTGGATTTTACAACCACCGCCCCAAGGCTTTAACTACTCTGCTTTTGTCCAAACCAGACACAGGAAACATATGTGCCTGTATTACATAAAAATAGCTTGGTAGGAATGCAGGATTGTTGTTTCTCTCCCACCAAAGAGCCTGTTAAAGTTCAAATAATTTTTTGTTTACTCTGATGCCTGAAAAGAGAACCAGTGACTTCAGTTTTCATAGAGAGAGCTCAATATCCTCTCAAATGTCAGGAGAACTTCCACACTGTCTTCCTTTTTCCTCCATGTGAATGTACTAAGGTAAATTTGAAGTAACTATCAAAGCCTTCAGCTTTGCTGAACCATTCTTGTCCAAGCCAAGGGCTTTCCCAGTTTCATACTGAACCTGTGGATCAGTACAGACAGAATCCACTGTTGACCCAGACAATGCCACACTTGCTGTGTTGGCACTGTAGAGCCAAGAAATTGTTTATTTACTCCTTGAACCCTTGAAACTGAAAGTGAAACCAAGGACAATTTTTGGGTTCAAAGTTAGAAGGCAACTTCGAGTTTTGCCCAAACTGATGATGATCCCTTGTTCTGTTTCATTCTTACTGTCCAGCAGTTGGGTGACTGAAGGGACCTGCCCGTGTTGGCTGCCAGAAGGGCTGGTGGAATGGCAGGGTCTGAAGCAGCCACAGCAGCAGCTCTGAGCCCTCCCTGGTCGGCTGCTCCATGAATTGCTGCACATTTTCTTTCAGGTTTCAAGCACCATTTAAACTATTTATGCAGTAGCAGCCAACAACAACAGAAGATGCTACCTTGGCTTTGCATTTCAGTCTTAATTAAGTGCAGCATAGCTTGCACAGGGTTCAGTAGAGATACACACAACTATTTTGTTTTTATAGGAAATGGATTTTGGGAGGTTGTTCCCAAAGTTCAGTGCTGTTAGCACAATGTGGTGTTTATGTTGTAGTGCAGCTTAATGAGTATTAGAGATGAAAGATAGAGAGGGGAGAAGGAGCACTAAGTTAGAGAAGTGCCTACAAAACAAATAACGAGTGAGTGTGCTGTTTGGTTTGGCTCATTTGTATTTATATGGCTGAATCAAGAAAACATTCTTTATTAGGAACAGAGCAGAGCCTAATGTGCTGTTTATTGACACACGCACGGAGTCGGTGGTAATAAAAACAAATGAAAGAGTGTAATTAGCTTTCACGTTAACAACGGGGTTTAATGGGTGTTTATTGTCCACGGGGTGGTGTTTAGAAACTTCCCCATAGATTCCCCACGATTCCGTTGCCTCCCGTAGTTCTGTTGGAAAAGTCTGCATTTTATGCTTGTGAATAAAGAATGTCTTTGCATTCCGGAGGTAATTTTTAGGAATTTTCTGTTTGCTAAAATAATAGGGAAAATCCATGTCTCTCTAATGGCTTGGAGGACTGCCTTTTTTTTGCATGTTACTGCTAGGACAAAAGTTGTTCCCTGTATTATGTGTTCTCACACTGTAAGGCTTGCAGAAGGCTTTTGGCCACTTACTCTGACCTGCTGTTTGTTGCAGGACACAGATTTTTGCCATGGAGAATAAAAACTGACCCAAATGTCTCCTGGAAAAGCTTCAAGGGATAGCAAAATGTGTAACTTACTTCAGTAGCTTGTTTGAGTGATTCCTCACATTTCCACCAGTTTGTGTCTAATTTGTCATTTGACTTTGACTGCAAGTTTATCTCTCAGTCCCTTGGCATTTGAATATATTTCAAAATTTAAAAGAAGATTTGGATGAAAACCTGAAATTTAAGCCTGTGGCTAAAAATACATTGTCATTTTCCAGAATTTCAAATCCATGATCTTGCTGTTTTGCAAAATCTCATCTATTCCTGCCTGTCCAAGTATCATCTCTCTGGGGAAAGACACACATGGTGTGTAATTCCTGTTTTTTGGGTGATTTTTCCTTCAGAAGGAAGCCAGGAATGTACACAAACTGTGAGCATTGTCAAGGATAATTTACAAATACCAAATCCAAGTATTTTGTCAGTTTAAGTCCAATCCTGTTGTAATCTCTGAGCTCTAGCATAATTGTGGGGGTTCATATCTTCTTTGCTAACTGAGCCAAGAGCCTCACAAAGGTGAGTGTTCTACCCCTGCATCTCCAGGCCAGAAGTTTTCTTGCTTGTTGTGACCAAGCAGCAAAAAGCAGCTGTTAATCAGAGGTGCAGAACATCTGGATAACTTCAAGCTGCTGAGGTGTTCTGTCATTAGGCATCTTCCTGGAGAGCAAGCTTTCTGTTTCCTTCAGCAGGATCAGAGGGGGTTCTGCTGTGTTCGGCCTTAACACAAGGAAGACAATGAATTAAGAGTAGTGAATTTTTAAATCCTTTAGAAGGAGATTGTGTTCCATCCTCCATTACTTACCCACCTACATTTCTGTGCTGTCACAGCAGCTTCCTGTGCTCTGTTGCATTCCTGTGGTGCAGGTTTTCTCAATGAGAAAGCTGTAAAAACAGATGGATCTCACAGGAAAGGATTTTGTAAATCGTCTGAGACACGTTTCACTGGGAGTGTAAAATAGGAGACCATGACTATTCCTTTTTGTACCTTAATTGTTTTTTGTAAGAAAGTCATTTTGTCTCCCTTGCAGACAACTTCAGCAACAGCAAGCAGAGCTCGAAGTACATCAAAGAGATGGGCTGTCATCCTATGACTTATCTCAGGTGAAATTTCTCAGATTTTTCTTTTTGTGCCTCTGATCATTTAAGATGTAAAACAACAGCACATTTCAGCAAAACTAAAAGTACATTGTGACTGTCCCTGAATTCCTTTTTGTCAAATACAGTAGAGAGAATCACCTTTCTCTCTGTATCTCAACAGGTGCCTGTTCCAAGTATACCAGCTAATGTTCATGAGGGTGGAAAGTCTGTGGAAAAGCCTGATGCTATCTTCTCCCAAGAGAGAGATCCTAGATTTGCTGAGATGTTTGCTGGAATAACTGCTTGTAAGTGAATGTCCCTGATGTTTAATTTATAATACTGTGATAAGCTTGGTTACATGGTGTAGAGCACAGCTTCAAGAGAATGAAGAGAAACTGCTGTGTGGCAGAGAATTTTCTAAGCAGCATCAGTCTTTGGGTCATTTCCTGGCATTTGTCATTAGTTGGTGTTTCCCTAAAGATGATGGAGTAAATTCAAAGAGGGAAAGATGGCTTTAGTGTCACCAGAGCTGCCTGGTTTTGATTCTCTTTTCATTTCACAGGGACACCTTAGGCAGTGCTCCTAGATACTAAATATACTGAGCAGAACATTCCATTTCTAAGTATATTTTTCTTTCCTAAACAGCATATGTAAATTTATTTCTCTAAATAGGGACATATTTCTCTAAAAAAGGGACAAGAAAGTTACCAGATAGTCTTAAGATAGGCTGCAGTTTTTTATCAAATCACCAGCTTCTGTATTAGTGTTTTCAGAATCATATGCTGCCAGCAGTATACTTGTTCTCTGGTCAGTTGAGGCATCTCCAGTCATGTTACCTGGTTATGAGGAGTCCTTGCTCTTTTTCCCACAACTTCTAAAATTTTTAGCAAGTTCTTCTAAGAGTGATAGGACTCTCAGGAGCAATTTGTTGTTCTGTATTCCTTGGAAATTACTGTGAGGACAGAGTCCGTACTGGTGCCCTCACCAAAGGATTTCCCAGGCCTGTTGTAAGAGGTAACCCAGCTTGCCAGTCAGACAGATGGAGCTGTGTCAAAGTAGCCCCAGCCTGTGCTGCCTGTTGCCCAAACAGACAGAAACCACTGAGACTGGCAGGTGAAGGCATCATATGAAATATATCTGTAGGAATCCAGCCAATGCCATGGCTCGTGGAAGAGCTCATTTATTGTTTATTGTTCTTAACTGTCCTCACTGAAAAAGAGGAATTTTTACATTTATTTTAAATAAATCAATGTGCAAGTGTCATGCAGTGCAGAGAGGAAACAACCCACAGGGTTTGACTGCAGGGGTGTTGGAAGGTGACCTCGCTGTTGGTTTCTTGTGTCTGGATTGTTTTTTTCATTTGGAGAAGACATTGTAACTGCAATATGTACTTGATGCTCTGTCCTCCCATTGCTAGGACTTCTCTGCTATTCCTGTTCATTCTTCTCTGTTTACTTGAACAGTGGAGTCAACAACTGAGGCCATAAAAGGGGTCCATTAGAAGGTAGCAAGACTCCAACCCTAAACACCAGAATATGTTTTTCCAAGCAAGAACATCTTGCTTTTTGGCTGCCTTACTGGCTCTTTTTCAGGCAGCTCTCAGCTGTTTGTGGGAAGGGGTTAGGGTTAAGGGTGTCACAAGCTGTGAGGTAGCTGGGAGGTTATGCTCTTGGAAATGCCATTTCTCTTTTCATTCTTACCAATTTACAGGCTGTGCTTTTTTTGGGACATTCTCCCTCTCTGAATGTCTCATGGGAGCTGTGATCAAGGTCTTCTCTGAATGATAAAGGATGGCTCCCAGTCAGGGATGAGGTACCCTGTCCAAAACCAATATTGACAAGCCTGCGTGCTGCCTGCCAGACATTTGCCTTATGTTGATACCTGATCTTGTTCTGTAAGAACATGGGCTGACACAGGGAGAGTGCTGCTATAATTCCATGTAGTGGCCACACTTCATTAGAACCCCAGAAGTTGGGAGAGGAAGCCTGGCTTCACCCATTCATGCAAGTGATTTGAAGCATGGGATGATGCAGTTTTTAGGGAGAGATTCACTTAAGAGGCAGAAATATTGGAGATACTCGTCCTGCTGGGGGAAGGGACATCATTGCCCAGTGGAGTTTAGAGAGAAAAAGGTAAAATTCACAAAAAAAAAAAAAAATCAGTGCTCTACCAAAGGTGAGAGCAGAGAATTGTGTGAAAAATCCTGTAGGAATACAGCTTGGAGAGATGTGGGCCAAATTCAGAGGCTAAAGGGCATTCAGGGTAACTCAGGAAGGAGAATTAGCTGCTTGCTATTAGTTTAGCTGTTCCCTTTGTCTTGGCCTCATCCTGTGGCACAGACCCTGGTAGCTGCCATGGCAACTCTGCTCCACTTGAGGAATTCCAGTTCATTTGGGGCACTCTCAATTTTTCTGGTGAGTTGTTCTCAAATATCTGAAGCACCCGCAGGATTTTGGCTCAGACTCTTCCAGCCCTGAGAATTTGGTTTCCCTGCAAAGGGTGGCCTTAGAAAATGGGGCATCTCATGCAAGAATGACATTACTGCAGAAAAAGACAAATTCATCTGTTCTTCTTCTCAGAGATATGCCAACCCATTCTCAATTCTTCCTGCTTTATGCACAACCTTTTCTACACCTCGTCCCCATTTCTCCCTGTTGTTGTTTTTAAATATGAGGGCACAGCTTTGCAGCCCAGCTTTGGTTTCTGTGCTGGGCAGTAAGTAGCCAGGGAGGAATTTCTACAAATTTCTGCATTACAAAGACGAGCAATGCCAGCTTGCATGTGTGGCATCCACACTCCAAGACTCCTGTGAGGGAATTTGAGGTGACTTTTTTCTTTTGAGAGGCAAGCTTAGGTTCTTGTTAGGAACATAATGTAAGAACAACTTAGGTAACAGAGAAGAGCTGCTGTGTGTTGGAGGCCTTTGGTGAGTCACACTCAGGAGGTCTCTAAAAGCTAGGGAAAGCTAAAAAAAATTTAAACACCTAAAAAATACTTCTGTTACTTGTGAGTTGAGTGGGTCTTTTGTCCGAGAGAGCATCTTGTGAAATGAGTGGGAATCTGAAAAGAGCAAAGGGGAAAATGAGGGGGCAGACTTGATTTCTAGGCCTGTCAAATATATGGCAACATATGGGTGCAAAACCATCAGCGAGTTGCAGGGTGTTTTGCACTTGGAGGGGAGATGGAGAAGGTGAATAAAGGGTGGTGTAGCAGACCTGTAAATTATTTTAAGAGAAGTACTAGTGAGATTTCCCTGAGCTTTGGAATAATCCAGTACCAGAAAATTAAATTAAGGGACCAAATGGTGCTGTTCACCTAATCTTGTTTCATTCAATTAGAGATGGATCTCCAGTTCCCACATTAAGGGTAGACTGTAAAAGTTAATGGTGTCTCTTTGTGCAATTTATTCACTACACTCATTTGTCTTCCACCCCTCTGGGGTACTTCCATTCTACTTCATGGTTCCCCATCCTTTTTCATGGCTCCCCCAAGCCACATGAGGACAGCAAATTCCACAACAGAGCTGTGTTTTGCCTTGGCACAGCTCAGGTTCACAGGTCTTGTGACACTCAGGAGCAAAGGGCCTCCAGCCACCTGGGATGCAGGTGGGGCTGCAGGTTGTCACCCCAACATCAGCAGGCAGTGCTGGGGAGGTGGGTGCTCCTTGGGGAGCAGATTGTCAGCTGGTTAGGAGAGAGCTCTTGGACACCCTTGGGTTCTTTCACCCAGCAGGGTGGGGGCTCTCAGCTGTCACCTCAGTGCAGACAGGCTGTGGTTACAGCAGTGGAGGACTTTTCTTGGTGGCAGAAGTGTGCCCTCACCTGAGCCACAGAGGTGCTTGTGCCTCACACCCTCTCCAGACCAGGCTAGTTTCCTGTGCCATCCCCTGGGCAGCCCCAAACACCTTTCTTCCAGAACAGCTTTGTTCCCCTCTCCAGCCTGTGCCTGGGGCACCCCTGACTCCCCACCTGGAGCAGCTTCCAGCAGGTCAGGGCTGTGTGGCCAGAGGGCACAACCAGCACAATGTTCCATGCAAACAGTGGCATTCACGACCCACAGCCTCTCAGGAGAGTGTAGAGCATACACAAACCAGCTGTGCCTCTGCTTTCACACCAAATTGTCACTTTGTGTCCTTCCTAATGTGTTCCACAGGGCTTCTTCATGAAGCCTGAAGAAGGGAAGAAAACATACATTGCAATTGTCTTTAAATATTTTTTCTTCATTATCTCACCCCCTAAATTAATTCTTTTCCTGTGATTTGCTTTTCTCTTGTAGCAGATAAAAAAATGATGGCCTCTGCATCCACAGCAGGGAACCAGCAGCTTTACTCACAGGGAAGCCCATTTCAGCCAGGACACTCGGGAAAGACTTTCAGGTATTTGGTGCAGATCCTGAATGTGTCAGTTCCTGTCTGAGAGGGGGAAACTGTCCCCCTGCAGTACTGTGGAAACAAAACCAACCCAAGGTGCAAGAGCTTTCTTTACATGAATGAATTTTACTTTGTGTACACTTCACTGCTGGTGATGTTTCAGCACTTACACTGGGCTTACAAGCTGAGATGATTTGGGTATCTCTCTTAAAAATACTGTCTGATAAGTAGTTATTTTTTGCTGTGATACTGTAATTGGAAAAAAGCTAAGGAGCAGCAACAAATTCTGAAGGGAAATAACTCAGAGAGGTGACAGCACAGGGTCAGAGATCTGAGGAGCATTCAACCAAGCTGGGAAGGTGCAAAGATTTGTTTTGCACTTCAGCTGTCACTTCTGAAGTGCTCCTGCTGAAGGGCTGCCTTGAAGGGCATTGATGTGGGTGTCAAAGGGAACAGAGGGATGCTGCATCCATAGTCCCAGGTGAGGACTGGGACAGGCTCATCAATACTTTTCTAAGGCAGCTTCCAAATACACGTAAGGCGGTGGTCTGGAATGTTCCAAGGCATTTTTGAGTTCTTCTAAGTGTGTGTCATTGCCCACCAGCTGGCAATATGGGTTCCAGTTGCTTTTGCAGAGTGTGGTAACAGCAATCATGTTGACCTTAGTGCCTTGTGATATCACCACTGTCTTACTGGAGTTTAATTCTCCTGTTCAAACCAGCCAAGGCTGTGAAAGTGAAGGAGCAGCCACTGAGAACCTGCCACTTCCTCAGACTGGAAAACATTGGCAAACACCCATTTTATTTAAACCAATGTGCTCTTAAAGTCATAATTGCTAATAATCTGAGTGAAGAGAAATAAGATCCATGTGAGTGTGTTTTGTCAAATTAAAACCAAGTATAACTTGGGGAGATATGAGAATAAAATGAAATGTCTTTTAATTGGATATTATGTATTACTGGGTGACTGACTTGCCATCTGGGGGTTTGGCTTGTGTTCTTGTTCATTTCCTTTGCTAATTCCTGATGTTTTAACTGTAGCTTTTTTCCTACTGCTATTCTGTTACATCAAGTAATGGCTTGCATTTCTGCCAGCACTTCCACTCTCAGTGCACTGCCCTCTGTACAATCTCCAGCCTGGCCATTCAGTCACTGAGCCTGGGCAGCCTCTAGGCACTGCTCTGCAGAAATCTGCTTTCAAAGTACAGTTCCAGATACTGTCCAAGCTCCTTAGGTGATGGGACTTGCCAGTCCAGCTGAGAAGGTTTTGGCAGAAGGGCCAGCTCTCCCCAGCAGCTGCTGTGTGCTCCAGCCAGATTTAGATGGACTTTCTGGTCTACATTTCCCTTTTTGGAGACTCTGTGATAATATAAAATAAAACACATATTTTAAAAAATTAGAAAACACAAAGCATTTCTAAACATACGCTTTGCTTTTAGGCAGAAAGAAATCCAGAATAACAACTCACATATTCACATGCCTGCCACGTTTAGCTTACACTCTGGGAGGGATTCTGTCAGCCTTTTCCAAGGATTCAGCCTTGTTTACTTCTTTTCCCAATCTGCATTCTTCTCTCTCTGTAAGATTGTGAAAATAAACAATAGGGATGGGATTGGAGAAAAGAACAAGCTGTTTCAGTGGATCCACAAAAGTGGTTTTGTATGCTGTCTTCACTTCTATTCATTTCTATATGACATGTAAAAAAATATGGTTTTATATATAAAAGTACAGTCACAATGTGTAGTTGTATAGATTCCATTGCTCAAGACTTCCATGAGAATAAAATGGTGAAGCGGAGCAGTTCCTTCATAAATTTTTTCTTAAAATTAGGAATTTTTAGGTATTTATCTGTAGTGAAATTCAGTAAGTAGGAAACAGCTAACATAAAGAAATTTAAAATATTATTTTTTACTATTATTAGTGTTCCAAAGTTACTACATGAATTTAACTTCCTGGCTTGATTATTCTTTTGCCAGGGTATATAACTGCCTGTTCTTCTTTAGCATCAGTTGGTGAAAAAAGGAATTAAAAGCCCTTATTTTTAATATGTAGTACATAATTCTTCATTTCCCAGGCAGGAAACAAATAAGGAAGTGCTTATAAGTATCGTCTTTTGTGCCCATCTTCATTTAGAATGGCATTTAAGCAAATGCTTAAATGCTGTTGACTTTAAGCACAAATTTGTGATGAAGTACCTGCTTGAATGCTCTCTGCTAGCCAGATTTTTTATGCATTAAATGTTAAACTGGTGTGGGGCTAAGTGTGTATGCACCATGTCTGGGACTGTATTTATTCTTAGAAGCCCTTTCCAAGAGATTGCTGAAGTCTAATTCAAAATAATTCTGCCTGCTGTGTCTATTAGGACTGACATTTAGAATGCCAGTGTGTTTCATAGTTTTGTGATGGTTCTCAGTCATTTTTCTTACCAAGACAGACTGAATAATTAGCTTTAATGTATCGTCAGTGTTTCTTTATCCGGGATACAATCTGCGCGTTGGGAACAGGCCCTACAAATGAGGCTCTGTGTCTGTTCTGGCCCCTTAGTTCATCTGTGGTGCATGTGCCTGGTGTCAACGACATCCAGTCTTCGTCCTCGACGGGCCAGAACCTGACCCAGATATCCCGGCAGCTCAACCAGAGCCAGGTGGCCTGGACGGGAAATCGCCCACCGTTTCCAGGACAGGTATGCACTTCAAGTGACTCATTTTCATGGGCTTTAAAGATCTGCACTCTCTGTGCTTTTTACAGAAGTGTTAGTAAACCCGTTTATGGTTTCAGGGTAATTAATTTGTGGTTGGGGTGGGGGTGTGGCAGTGTGAGCAGCTGCCCTGTGTGTGGCTGCTCTTGTTTGGGGTGGTGGTCACTGAGGTGGCAGTGGCTGCACTGACCCAAACCCCGCTGAAAGTTCTTGTCCTGCATTTGTTTTATGTGTGCACTGGATGAAGGAAGAAGGACACATCTGCTTTAGTATTAAGCCTGTGAATTAAATCTCTCTTGGGCCAACCTTGCACCCAGCAGTGTTACCCATGGTTATCAGGGTGGGCAGAAGGGGCAGGTGCAAAGCCAGGCATGGATTGGGAGCAGAGGCTGCTCATCAGCCTGGTGTTCCTCCATTAGCACTGCCCAGCATAGCTCACACTGCTGTGTGCTGGAGGAAACAGCACATACCTCCATCAGATGCACTGTGCTTGTCAGTGTTAGCCCAGAAATCACCTCTTGTTCTGTGTAACAGTTAAAAAATGGTTCAAAACTCTATTAAAAGACAAATAATATGAAATGAGTTTGATCTTAATAATGCTGCTCTTAATGCCTCCTGAGTTCTCGTTGTTTGGCAGGCTGGAATGGCATGTTGCGGTGGTCACTAAATAAATTTCCAATAAGTGAATTGTTTCCACATTAATCACTGATTATTCCCAGCCCCAGAGTGTCATGGTTCTCTGTCACACCTGGTTAATGAAATCCAGTTACAACATTAACTCATTTCTTCAAATGATATGGAAGGTGCTGAAAATGACTAAAACAAATTACTCATCCCTCTTACTGCACAAATTCTGTCCAAATCAACCGAGTTTGGATGTGAGTGTAAGGAAATTGGAATTAATTCTTCCATCTTAAATACAGTAAAATGGAGCTAAGCCCTTGCAGAAGTGACATGCCGAGCTCCCACTGCCATTGTGGAAACCTTCAGAAATGTACAGTTTCTTAGCTTGGAACTGAACTGAAGACTTAATAGCATCTTCCACATGTTATATGCCTGTTGGGATCTGTTTTCCTCCCCCAGCTCCAATGCATTTGCCCAAAAATCATAGAATCATTAAGTTTGGAAAAGACCTTTATGGTCCTCAAGTCCGACCATTGCTGCCAATTTCACCACTAACCCACATCCCCAGGTGCCACATCCACACATCTTTTAAACACCTCCAGGGATGGTGACTCAATCTCTTCCTTGGGCAGCCTCTTCCTGTTCTTGACAGCTCTTGGTGAAGGAGTTTTTCCTGCTGAGGAGTGATGGGAAGTGGCTCAGTGAGCACTTTTGCCAGCTGCCTCAGTGCCCTGCGTGGATCCTGCCCAGCCCGTGGACCTGTGTGTGTCTGAGTGGTATAGCAGGTCACTGACCTTCTCCTCTTGGATTGTGGGGGCTTCATTCTGCTCCCTGTCCCTCTCTTCCAGGGAAGAGCAGCTTCCTTTGCCTGCACTGATTGCCAGTAACAGTGCACATCATGACAGATATCCAGAGATGTAATCATGTAATCACCTTCAGTTTCTCTTTGTGGGCATGGTTAGGCAGTGAGTTTTTCTTGGGACTGCTGGACTTACTCATCATGTGGGAAATGGTTTATAATCAGATCCTGTCTGTGCACCATACATTAGCCCATGGCTTTGGATGGAACACTTCACTCCCTTTGGTCCCAGTGCACCAGTTGTACATGTCTCAAAGCAGCCTCTGCAGTGTTTAACCATTTGTGTAACATTCTGGGAGATCCTCTGACAGAGCCATTATGTAGGTGAAATGACAGTAAACTGGATTTTAGTACTTTTGAATTAAACTGCCCAATTAAAGCAGTGTTAGGCTGTTTCTTCCCTTCTGCCAGGACTTGGTGATTCACCCTTCCAAGCCCTTTACAAGGCAAAGTAACTGCTGCCTGTATTTCGTAGGCAGGGAGAGAAAGCAGCACATTAGCTTTGAAACTGCTTTGGCCCTTTAGTCCCAAGCACTGGAGACTCTGGTCATCTGAGTCCTGCACGTGTCCTGCAGGACATCCAGATAACTGATTTCACTGTTGCACTGCAAAATCAGTACACCTGGAAAATAAAGATGAATTCTTCATACTTGTTGAGTTTGAGATTAATCCTCATAATAGTGGTAAAAGAAATCCTGGTTTTCCACATAGCTCTGATACAGAGTACCCGTGAGCTAATCAGCAGGAGAGCTGTAGGTGTTGGTTTATACTCTGTTGTACTCCTTCTGCAGCAGTAACCTGGACTGGACAGAAATTAAATACAGCTGAGACAGGAGAAACATGTTAGCATCCACAGAGTTTATTTAGTCTTTGCTTTATGTTATGATTCTGCTGTGCTGTTTCCCAACAATAAAACTTTTTCCTTCTTTTACGTTTTATTCCTCAGCAAATTCCATCTCAGTCTGGCAAGGCTCAGTCATCTCCCTTTGGCATTGGAACAAGTCACACCTACCCAGCTGACCCATCATCTTACAGCCCTCTGTCCAGCCCAGCCACCTCTTCTCCAAGTGGGAATGCCTACTCCAGCTTGGCAAACCGAAGTGCAGGCTTTGGTGAGTTTTAAATGGTGTAACACAGAAATGCACATGGAAATGAAACTCTTCAGCATTAACTTCATTAAAAATCTTCCAATATTTAATCAGTAAAAATTGATTTTTATTGTTATTTTGGTTGGGAAGCCCAGGTGGTGAAAGGGTTTTGCTTTCTGCTGCTAAGTAGAGAGGACAGAACTGACCTGTTCCCTCCATGCTCCATCTCCTCCACATCCAACATGTTCAGAATATTGTCATTTTATGGTATGAGGGAACTTTTTTTTTCCTCCCCCAGTAAATGGTGTCCTGAAAGATTCAAAATTTGCTTATATGACTAGTAATCATCCTCCCAAATTGTGGTCAACTGGTTCAATTTGCCTTTTTTTTTTTCCTTCTTTTTTCGTCTTCATGGTGGTGTCCTCTTGCACTGAGATTGTACATTAGAGTTTGGCTGAAAACAGGATTTATTTCTTGCCCCCAGTGCTACCAACCTAATCAGAGTAGTTGCCATGTTTTGAAAGGGTTTTCTTTTCCTATTATAGGCTAATTTGGTAGCTTTCAGACCGTGACCCAGTAGGTAACCCCTTGGTAAATTTTTTGCGCTCCACCAGAAGAATAATATTCAGGAATAAAATATATAATGGATTCCATGAAAATGTCACAGGGTGACAATAATGTGCAATCCCAAAAAGCACAGGTAGCAGTGTGCTGATGTGTGCTGTTTGCTCCTGTCCCTGGGGAACAGACCTGGCACAGACCTGTGCCTAGAAGAAGGGCATTGGGATGGAGCTCTTCCCACACAGCTTATTCCTCCCTCCATTTCCATTCCCACCAGGCACTGTACATTTGTTTATGAGACAGCCTTGTATTTCAGGCTTAAGCTACTTGGCAAGAACCCTTTCACTTAATGAGAAACATCTCCTGACCTACATCAGTTTGGGTGCTATTAATAACCCAGCCCTCACGGAGACGAGCGGCTTCGAGCGCCGGCTGGCAGGGGCTGTTCTGCTGAAAAGAAGTATCATTTGCTTCACTCACTTAATTTCAATGTGTTGTTCTGAGGAGAAATAAAACAAAACAAACTTGCAGCTTGCTTTTAAAGGGTAACTTAAATGAATTTTGTTTTGGCTCTTAAAATGTCTGCAGGGTTTTTGAGTCAGCTGGATTATTGGTTGTGGTAATGTCAGTGAGGGAAGAACTGTAATCATGTACTTCAGATGTGATAGAAATGCATCACTACAGCCTGTTTACTTTCCTGTAAAACCTTCCCTTTATCTGTTTTGCATGGCTTAGCTGGTGGCCAAAGTGATTTGGTTAAATATGTGTCTGTATTTTCTGAAGTCGTGACTATGAGTAGTGGCTGATTTGACATGATTGAGTCTGGATATCAAAGACTTGGCATAGCACAGGTGTGGAAGTTTGGCACAGAAAATTTGGCACTCTTGGCAGAGGATGCTGGTGTTCAGGAAGAACCAGACATGCACAGCTTGACCCTCTGTGTGAGAGGGAAACAAGCAAAAATAGCTGGAGCAGTTATAGAGAAAAACATTAACAAAAAAAAGAGGAAGAAATGTTTGGAGGAAAAGCATAAGCCTGGTGGCAAGCTTTCTAAAATGCTAGTTCTTAGAGGGAGATACTGTGACTAAGGAATGGAAAATTATCCAAAAATATTACAATGCAATGGCAGTCTGTAGAAGTGTAGGGTAAAATGAGTTCAGCTTAAGTGTCATCTGTTACTGTACTCATGAAAAATGTATGTGTAATAGGTAACCAAATTAATGTGTGGCAACATACTTTTTTTATGGTGGACCATTTAGAAGAAATTAATCTCCTTGAAATCATCATTTAAAGTGTATTTACAATGAAGCCTTGCTATTCATGTTGCTCTGTCAAATGTAAATGGCCTGAGACTTCTAGGGAAGTATCACCATATTGACAGGATAATAATTTGCTATGAACTGCATATTAAATAAATCACTTTGCAGATGTATCACTGGAGGACAGGACAGTCCTGAAATGCCTGTATTTAATCAGCAAGGCTGTTGTCTGTTGATCATACTGTTCCTACATCTGCTTAAAAAAATCCTGGATCTGCTTACATGCTTCTTAGATGAGTACCAAACTGTGCAGCCACTGCTCCACAAGAATTCAGTGTTTTTGAGAGAAACAGCATTCAGATGGTGAAGTCTGGTTTTTAAGTGAAATGAAAAATAGTCCTTATTATGATTTAAAAATGATGGGGGGATGCTTGAAAATTGTCTTGCAGTGCCTGGCTCACCATGTCAGTGTGCATTTTGCCCTGGGCAGTTCATGGCTGTGCAGCCACGGCCCTGAGCTTTGCTCTGGGGCTGAAACACCCTCCAGCTTCCTCCTCGCAGGGCTGGTGTCACCCAGGGCCTTTCTCCAAGGCTCCTTTGCCAATCCAGCGCTGATGGATGCCGCCCCAAAGCAGGCAGGTGTTGTGGAGGAGCTGCTCTCTGACTTGTGCCCTTTCTTCCCCCGTGCAGCTGAAGGCGGCCAGAGCAGCGGGCAGTTCCAGGGCCGGCCGTCCGAGGTGTGGTCGCAGTGGCAGAGCCAGCACCACAACCAGCAGAGCGGGGACCAGCACTCGCACCCGCAGCCCAACCAGAGCGAGGTGTTCCAGGTGAGCAGTGCCACCCAGCCCAGCGTCCCTCTGGCCACCTCTCAGTTCTGAGTTAGAGCCGTGGCCCTTGAGGATCAGGCGCAGCAGGGCCTGGAGCCTTCCCCTGCTGCTGCGTGCTGCCCTGCACTGCCCTTAGCTGCCCTTGGCTCCTCAGGTGGTTTGGGTCTCTGCCACACAACAGTGTCTTTGCTATGCAGAACGCTGTTTTCCCTTCTCTTTGCACCCTATACTTAGGGCTTTCATGTTTTGCAGGGAATCCATGAGGTGTTCCCAAGTGGAATGTCTTTCTTATCCTGGTGCTGGCCTCTGACATCTCAAGTTCAATTAGATATCAATGTCATTCTCTTTGACAGTTCAAGCAGGAAAGGAGTGTGACACTGCACAGAAGATAGTGGACAGTAATTATTTAAGGTTAAACCTGGTCAGATATCAGATAGGTGATAAAAAATCATCTTCAACTACCTAATTAACTATAATTCTGAGTCTTGACTACAGATGGCAAAGTCCTACTATAGAGTAGGACTTCATAAGTTGACTAATGACATATCTGTCCTTGTATAACTGGTTTTTAAATTAGATGAAGAAGACAGTTTACAAGAAAACAATGCAGATAAATGCAGGAAAGACAGTTCAAGCCCCAAGCAAGTTTAGAAGTGGGGTGCCTCCTTGTCTTTTGGAAAGTAAATTCACCTGCAAGACTGGGCTCGTGTGCAAGAACGCTGCAGAAGAGCTGGGAGCATGGGAATATTCCTGTGTGGATGAACCATTGCTTTCACACAAGATCAAACAGCCCTTCATCTGGAGTAACTGCCTGTCTGTGTGCTCTTAGCCCACAGCCCAGGCAAGATTGGTCTGTTGCATCTCTTTGCGTTAGCAAAGGTTAATGGCTGTCCAAGAGGATATTCAGGGTAATTCCAGTGCTGCTGACAGCATGGTTTGATGGCCAGCAGAGACATGGGGCTCCAAGCAGTGTCTTGCTTGTTTCTTAACAAACTTCTCATGAAGTTAGTGGAAAGGAAGAGCATGGGATAAAAGAAGGGCTGGGCTCATCTGCAATGTGTTTGGAGGGAGGTAGGATAATATCTGGATGGGATAAGAAACTTGGATGAGTTTAAAGGCCTCCAAGAAGTTGCTTGGATTGTGCCCAGAGTCTCCCCTGGGTTAGCTGGGCTTAAGGAGAGAGGCAGACTCAAGAGGAGACCTTGCTGGGTCTGTGCCTGAGGAGACTTTGCCACAGAGGTCCCAGCAGCAGAAATGCCTTCAGAGATGGAAGTGTAGACAGGAGGGAGCAGCTACAGTTTCCCTTTGGCTGGGAGAGAATGTGGGAAAACATCAAATAAGTCCATGTTTTGGTCAGAAGATGAAGGCTGACCCTGGCAGCTCATACACTGCCAGTGCTCACAGTCTCTTTCACCACATTGGCAAGGATGCTGTGAAGATTTTGGATGGATTTTAATCAGTCTTATTTTGGAGGAACTTCCCAGTACTCAGCAGCTCTCAGTTCTTTCACAGAGCACATCCCGTGAGCTTTCTTACTTGTTTTTTTGGTTTTGTTTTATTGTGAGGATAGTGAACCATCCCTGGCAAGAGTTGGCTTTGTGGTAAGAGCTTATTGCTCTAAGGACTGACAGGAAAAGCAAGCATAAACTCTGGTTTTCCCAGCAAGGGATATCTTCTCCCTGTGGCTTCAGTCTCTGGCTGAGGAACAGTTGAGTGTTTTTTGAAGCCTCCTGCAGAGACCTCACTTGGCTCAAGACACAAAGAGAAATTACCATGAAATCCCATTTCTCCTGAGAAGTTCCTGCTATTTCCTCTGCCTCTGTACGTTTATGAAGCTGCTTGGGCACCTTGTTAGCTGGGGAGATGTCCAGGCTTGAGTGTTCCACAGAGCAGCGTTCACCTAGAGAGTACTGGTAGGAGGTGAGACCTTGCCCAAACCCATCCTGACACATGGAGTTGGAGTTGAGGTGTTGTACACTCCCCATGCAGTGAAACCAGAGAGTTTCTTCTCTCCATATGTAGTTCCCATTCCAAGGGGAGCTGTTTCAGTCTGGGAGGAGTAGAAAGCAGCTCAGATGTGTTTTATTTCAGAGGAGCAATCCAAAACTGCCCTGCTTAAGTCCCACCTCTTGTTCAGAAACACTCCAGCAAAAAAGTAGCACATAAACTTTAGCCCAGCCCTCTGCACAGGTCTGGTTTTCACCTTATTTATCTAAACTTGGCCCTTTCTGGTTTTACACTGAAAAGATGAACAGGAAACAGTTTGTGTCTAGATAATGTGTTGGCAAATGAGACCTCACTTTGATTTTTCCTTATCATGCAGGACATGCTGCCGATGCCTGGGGATCCAACACAGGGTACTGGCAATTACAACATTGAAGATTTTGCTGACCTGGGCATGTTTCCACCATTTTCTGAGTAGCTTGTGAAGCAGAAATGGAAGTTCTTCTTCTCCAAGGCCATTTCAGTGTGATTTTGGCGCTGCTTTTTCTGTGTTGCATTTCTGTAGAAGCTACTAAACCAGAAGACTCATTTCTCACGTTTCAGATAGTGGTGTAGAGCTTGCTCTCTCCTCCTTGGGGTGCATCAGTGCCAGCAGAGGAGCTCCAGCACTTGTTAGTGTTCATTGACAGCTCCATTGTTGTTTTTTTTTTTTATATTTTATTGTCATCTACCTCAGAGATAAAAAATTTTGCTTGTTTAAAAAAAAAATATCTCTGAGTCTCAAATATTTGAATGTGAATGATGCATAATATTTCCTTTGAATGGTAATTTTTCAATAGATAACAAAGTAACAAAGACTAACAGAGAAAAGGTAAGGTCGTGTCTTGTTACAGTGCCTACCGCTCAATTTCGATGCCTTGCTTTAAGCTTAAATTTCTGAAAGCAGACACAATATTCTGTTTTCTTTGATTCTTGTAGGTTTTAGGTCACTTTAAATGTTGAGATTAAGCAACATAATGTAGGCCTCTCTCACCCGAAGATTCAGCTCTGCCTTTTCTAACTTAAACTTGAATGTGTGTACATTTTGGTACTTTATGTATATCTTGTGCTGTATGAAGTGATTTCCTGTACTGGTTTCTTTTGCCTTTACAAAGGGTCCATTCTGGAGTGTACTGAAAAGGTTGATGATGTATGTGAAGGATTTGAATATCGTGGGAATCTCCATCACTTCACATAGGTGTTCTTACTTTTAATTCAGGTGGTTCTCTGTTCAGAACAAACATTTACTTACATAAGCTATTAGTCTGGTTTTGCACTGAATTGAGGCCTATAACCTTGTACATTTCTCACTGGCTGCTTTAATTATTATTGCTCTTGCTTTCCCAAAAATGTTGCCTCTTAAAAAATGACTGTAAACACATCGAGATTGCATTTTCTATATTAGCTGCATTTCCTTTCTGTGAAGTACTTTTTATACTGTGAAACCTCACATTTTAACAGTGGAAGGTGGTGGCCTGTTACTAGGAAATTGTTCAAGCTCATTTGCTGCAAACAGTGAGATGATTTTGTAGTGTATAATTTTTTTAAAGTGAGTTGGTAATAGATATTGATTGGACTATTGTCCACTGCTTACACAGTGATAACTTGAATTTTGGCTTGGATTCCCAAGCAAGTGCTTCTGTTAACCCTGTTCTGTTAAAAATGGGATTTTCAGCATGCCAGGTTTGTTGAGGACTCTTGACTGCTCTGAATGCTGTATGCTTTTCCACGGAGGTGAGTTAATCACCTTCCTCTTGGGCGAGTCACCTGCCATGTGTCTTCATGAGAGATGTGGTAGGAATCTTTTTGTTCAGTATTTCACATGCATGATGAGTTACAGAGGTTGGATTGTGAGGATTTTATCCTGATCATTTCTTCCGGGATGAGAGGAGAAAGAATTACTCACAAAGCTCCAGGTTCCTGCATGCAGGTTGTTCATACCATTCGAGGTTGGGTGCAGAGGAGGAAGGATCAGCTTCTCTCAGCTTTTGGACCTTCAGGGGCTGTCATGGACCTGGGGAAAGCAGCCCCAGGGCAGAGACCCCATCCAGAAGATCTGTGTGTGCAGTGATTCTTAGACTTCACAAGATTAAACTCTGCCTTCTCATGGCCCCTGTGGAATTCTGGGGTGTCTCTGAGTGGGTGCACATCACCACAATCCGTATTTTTGGTTCAGGTGAGCATGGCCCAGGGACAGGGCTGGCACAGATGGGGCTGTGCCCATCTGACACTGCTGTCCCAGCCTTCTCCCAGATCAGCATGTCATGTTCAGTAGCCAGGAAGAGTCCTCCTTACTATTTATCTCACTAAATCTGGGACCAATCTCTTACCCTATGTGCAAGTGGGGCTAGGGAATCTTTTTTTTTAGGACAGTTTTGTATATCTCTAGATGAGGTACTGGAGAGGCCTCGGATCTCCTGGTCTGCACTTGCCTCACCAAATCACACTGAATACAAACAAAAATCTCCCTATCTCTTCTCCCCCAGAGATGAGGAAAATACCATCTGAGGTGAGCAAGCCATGTGCTTATGCACTTTGCTTTTAAATCCATGGATTTATTCTCTTGGAGCCATCCCCCTTTCCCCTCACGCTGCTCATGGAACTGGAGAGGCAGAGCTCTGCTGTGAAGTTCACTGGTGTCTCTAAGTGGTGCCTGGGTGCTGCACCAGTGAGGTGCTCAGTGTCTGTGCAGGGTTTGAAAGGGGCTGTTCATGAGGAAGGGAACAGTAGGTGAGCAGTTTGTGTCTCCCCACAGAAGATGCTTGACATGATAAACGTCAGTTCTGAAATTTTTATAAATTTTTCCGTGAAGTGAATAATGAATTCAGCTAAAAAGTGCTGTTCCTGTGTTTTATTTTACCCAACAAACTGCTCTGAGTATATTTATAGTTTTACTTCCTGAATTCAATTTAAAAATAAGGTTTTTAAAGCCATTTTCTTTCTCCTGACATCAGCAATGATAACTTCCTCAGTGTGTTGTGGGTTTTTTACTACTGAAGAAGGCTTCCCGTGTACAGATTTTGGTTATGCAGTTCAGAGTGCACTGTTAGAAGAAATTTAAGCACATCTTTTTTTTCTTGTTGTTTTTTCGAAATCAGTATGCCTGAGGGATCAGAGCATGGACTGCTTCTCACCCTGTGGGCTCCTCTGCCTTCCTGGCTGGAAGGTGGCTGCTCTGTTCAGGGCGGCGTGGACAGTGCCAGGTTTGGGTTTGGGTTTTCCCTGTCAGCCTCTCTGTTGTGCCATCCCGAGGCAGCCCTTTACTCTTGGCATTTCCACCCTTGCCCTGCTCCTCTGCCATTCCTGGCCACCCCATCTCCCCAGCCCGGGTGGAGGCGTTGGGCTGCCATTCCCAGCCGGCGAGGAGGGAGCAATTCACAGTTTTGGCAGCTTTGTGCTTCTGAGGCAGCAGGAGAGGCTTTGCTGTGCTGCTGCCCTGGTCCTGCCTGCTCCTCCCAGCCAGCCTCCCCGGGTGCTGTGGCTGACAGAGCTGTGTAGCCTTGGCTGTGCTGTATCTTGTGTTTCCCTGCTACAGCGACGTGGCTTATCCTGTAGCTGCAGCTGCAAGGTGCATTGGGAATGCTGATGTTTTTATTATGTGCTGTCGGTGTAGCTTTGTTGGCACTTTGGCTTCCAATTTCCAGAATTTCATAGGTGGTGGATTTCTCATTTCTTCTGTGGATTTTTTCTAAGCTGGAAATAAAGCTGTGATTTCTGCTTGAACTGTTGCAAACACAGTGTTTCTTGAATTGGAATCTTTTGGGGTTTAAACTCATGGAGCAAGAAACTGCAAATAGTGATGGTGTGGGTGAGTTATTTCAAGGAGCAGACATGTAGACTGAGACAGTTTTAGATACTAAAATATTTATATTCATTTATTCAGGTGAACAATCCAAGACTCCATCACATTACTTGTGCAAGTGCTACTGGCAGTACCTACAGTGATGCTTTAACCAGATAGTTCCATTTGTAGCTTTGTTGCCTTTTCTTTTCTTTTGAAGTACAGTATGAAACTGTAAATACTTCTTGCAGAACTGCCTTTTTAACTCTTAATTACTTTTGGCACAGTGTTAAATAGTGTTGGATTTACCCAATTGCTATGACATATATTTTTATACATAGGTGTACTCTTTTTTCAAGAATAATACAGCCATTTTGTCATTAATGCCTTATGGGTGTCATACTGCTGTTGCTCTTTGTTTGCAAGGTATCGAGTGGACTAATTTCTAGTTCAGATATTTTCACTTTTCCTGGCAGTGCTCAAGTTTGGCTTCAGGTGATTTTTGCCAGAGCCCCATTTTTCACAGTTGTTAACTGTGAGAAGAGGAGAATGTGGGCTTGGGCTTGTTGCTGTTAATGGAGCAAAGAAAAGGTGATGGCATCTAATTGTCTTTAAAAGGTCAGACTTCTCCTACTCTAAACCAGAGTGCATTTCATGAAACTGATGGCTGTGGGCACTGATTACTTTGTGTAGATTAATGGTCTTTAAAAAAGAAAGGGAAAGGGGGAAAAAGGAAACAACTCCAAAAATGGGCTTCTGTCATTGTTAGGCACTTGGTTACGTATCTGTTTAAACTCTTCATATTGATGTGAAATTGTGCTGTGGATAAAGTGTATTTTGTACTTCTGAATGTTCTATATTTATGACTAACAAGTACAGAATCAGTTGTGTGTATGTATAACTAATAACTGCCTTTTTAAATTTCATTAAAATAAAAATGTCATGAGCTGTTGTTAATTCCTGTCTTTCTGTAAATAAGTAAAATGTGCTGTTGGGAATTGTCAAGTAAGAAAAAACCCTGAATTATAAGATCCATGCCAAAAATCAGAAGATGAGGCATTGATCTTTGTCTTTGAAATCTCCTCCAGTGGTGTGTGGTTGGGGACAGGATGTTCCTTTTTATCTGTCTTGTAAAGGCTGTCCAGAGGGAGCAGGAGAGGAATGATAGTTCGAGAGCTCAACTTTTAAAAGTGTTCCAGAAAAACATTAATTAACAGCCTGTTCTACTGATGATGCTGAGGTGTGTGAATTGGTGGCTGTATTGTAGAGGATTTCATTAGAACACAATTGCTTTAGAGCTAATTCATGGTCTGGGGCAGTATGTATGCACTCCCTGGGGTGGTATCACAGTGGTTTCCTTGTCTACCTTTTGGTCTCATTGTTCAAAGTTAAAAAATACTCGTATCCTTGCCACAAACATTCTGGTGACCTTTTCAGATTGCCTATGTAAGGCACATTTGCCTTTCAGTGTGGGTCTTCATTGCATTTATGTTGTTATTTCTTTGTCTACTTGTTACTTTGTTAGGAGGACATACCTTGCTCATAAATCCAAAAAGCTGGTGACTGTGCCATGGCAGCAGCTGAGGACACTGCTCCAGGGCCTGGCATGGGGTAGGTGGTGTTTCCACAGCTCATACTCCGTTTTTAGGGCTCTGCCTGTGGAGAGCAGGCGTGGGCTCTGCTGGGACCTGGCAGGGAACTGGGGCACTGGGAAGGGATTAATGAGATGCAGCCAGCAGCCCCCCTGCTCTGCTGGGCTCTGCTCACTGTGTGCTCATCCCAGAGACACAGGTTGCTCTGTGAAAATGGGCCATTCGTGCTGTTTTGCTGTGAAAATTGGGTTTTCAATGAAGTGATGTTCTCCTGGCGTTTGCTCAGGTGCTGCTGAGCCTCTCTGGTGAACAGGGATGTGCCAGACCTCGAGCCCCATTTGGGAGTGCAGCCACTTCCATCCTGGCAGCTCTCTGCTGCTGTTCCAGTGCAGTTTAATAGGCTTGCAGTTTAATAGTTGCTTTTAAGAGCATTATCCAAACAGAAAGGCACACACAGAATGGGTGTTGCACCCGTGCCAAGCAGGGCACAGTGTGGTTGGGCTGGAGATCCCTCCTAGCACTCCTTTCACGTGGGTCATCATTAGCTGTGCTCTCACGTGCTAAATCAAGTGTGCTTCTGGGCACTGTGGTGACAGCAGGGTGTGGGAGTGCTGGCAGGTGCTGATTTTGGTGTGGAATCTGGGTTTGGAGATGCTGGATGTGGAATGGAGCCACATCTTTGGTGGCTGATGGTCTCAGCAGGACACCATGGTAGAAATCCATCCAGGCTGGCACGCAGGGATAAAATGCAGCTAAGGCTCACTGTGTTGGTACACTCACCATCCTTGCCTCTATCAGCTGGCACTAATGAATCATAACAACAGGTCTTCATTATGATGATAGAAATACATTTTTCTTTATTTTTCTATGGGAGTATTTCTTAGCCACATTTCTATCAAAATGCCATCATGGTTCAGGAAGTATTACTCATTTAATTTTCCCAGTTTCTCTCTAAGTTGTATATGACAGGGACAAATACAGGATGAATTTTTCCATCCTTTTTTACCAAGTTTCAGCATATTCCTGGTTGAAAATACTTGGCAGCATTTTCTTCAAACTTTGTGGTCTGTCCCAAATAAAATGAAATGGAATCACTTGAGCTGTATTAATGGATTTGGGATCATATCCAGGGGTTGCTAGGGCATCTTTTCATTAGCTCTGGAAAAAATGATCTTCTAATTATAGACTGGCACTAAATACTGATATACAAAATGTGCCATTTGGGACCCAGTTGAAAAAAATGTCACTGCTAGGCTCACCCTGGACAGTGCAGAAGTGCATTAAAATAAAGCTATGGCTTTTGCAGACAAAAGTGTAAGGGCTGTACACACAGAACTGCAATGAGAACTGTGCAGACACAGCCTGGGGACAGAGGACAGCCCCACTGCTGCCTATTAAAAATAGCAAGCACCTCTTTCCAGTTAGGAAGGTGAAGTTTTAAGTACTTGGAACATTTTTGAAAACAAGAAGCAGTGCAAGGTTGAACCACTTTGGTGCACTCTGTCATCCCAGACATGTTTTGGGTGGCTCTCAGAGCCTCCCCAGTCGTTGCCCATCCCTGGCTGGGCTGTGGATGATGACCCTTCCCTTGGAGCTCAGTGCAGTTCTGTGTGTGGCCCTGATGGGAAGAGGCTTCAGTCTACAAAATAAAATAACAGCATAGTTATTTTCCATTTAGCACTGGAATTGCTGGCCTGACAGACCCATTGCCACTGAGGAGCGAGGATTTTGAAGACCAAGAGAAGACACTGCCCTGGCACTCGTAAACACAACACACTGCCTTCCCTGCAGTGCATGTAGCAGGGGGCAAAGGCTGGGTAGTAAAACTACCCACTCAGTGGGGGAGTTTGTCCAGTGGAACTGTCTCAGAAGCAGCCCTCCTCTCTCCTCAGCACCTCCTGGATGTGATGGACCAGGGATACCAAAGCCTGACTCACAGAGGTATTGTAAATGCTGTGGGATTCCATCCTTCACATAAATCATGCTCAAACAAATGTTACGTTGTTTCTGGTTCACATAATTCAGAGCAAAAGTCATCGGGAGGCAACACTGCAGTGCTCCTGCTGCTGAATTAAATTATATTTCATTTTTAAATGGGACTGCTAGTGGATGTATCCCATCCTTCATCCTGCTCCTGCCTTCTCCAGCCACCAAGAGAGTGCAGAGTACTCTGAAAATCTAGAGCTGGTTGAGGTAATTCAGGCTGGTCCCTGGGTGTGAGGGACAGATGGAGTCAGCTTGCTCCAGCACGCTCTGCTCTGGGAAATGGGAGTGACGTGGGGCTCACCTCCATAAGGGTTACCTGGAAACACCAGCTTGTCACCTCCCCAGTGTCCCCTTGGCACAGCTTGCAGAGGTGGCATTGCCTTCCTGGGCCCCCTCCCAGTGCTCTCCAGTATGTGACTGCTCAGCCCACCAGAGCTCCTGCTCAGCTGCTGTTCCAAAATGGAAAAAATTGTGTTAGAGTGAACGAAAGTCTGGGTTTGGACAGTGATTTTGTGCAGTGTCAAGGAGTCATGGCCTCTTCCATACCAAGCCCATGTGTCATCGTGGCTGTCCTGTGTAGTCAGGAGAAGTTCCTGCCTGATGATTTATTTGGTGACGTAGGAAGGGATCTTTGTCATTTTACCCACAAAGCTCAAGCACTGAATGTTTACATCCATACTGATATGGCACGGAAAACTACCAAGCCCTCTAGTGAACAATTTTAATCTAGGAAACCTTGAAAGTAGATGGTTGCAGTCCTGTGAAAAAATTGCAGAATTGATACTTTGGTAACTTGAAGTGCTTATCTTTGTGTTTGTCTGTTTAAAAACTGCATTTGGTGAGGTTGAGGAAAAAAAGTATTCAGTGAAATTTGTGAAATTCCTATGAGAAGTTTTAATTATTAAGAAGCTATAGAGCATTGTGCACTTCCTTCAAGCCATATTGATCCCCCCACTGCACAGAGATGCTTAATCTAATGGAGTTCTGAATTGGAGTTTATTTAGATTCTTCACATATTTTTTGTGACCTCCGTGATTTAAGGTCAGAGACCTCAGCAGGGAATCAATGGAAGTTGTCACTTTAATCATTTTAGTTCTAAAGGTTCATCAAAGTTATGCGAATTGACCTAAATTTTTGGATCCTGCTGAGGGAGTGGGGTTCTGCACTAACCTGCCAAGGCTGACCTGGATATATCAGCTGGTAATGAAATACTGGAGCAAACCCACTGAAGCAACTGTCAATTATATAAATAAGGCTACTAAAAGGCAGAAATCTTAATTCAGTGAAAGGTAACATTTGATATTTATAGATCACTATAGATACACAACACTTCATCGCAGAGCTGTCGAGTCCTGGAAACAGATTTCCTGTGACAGGTTTGTAAAATCCCCATTTTGTCCCTTGCACCACCGTGTCAGTGCAGGGTGGGTGGATTTTTGTACTAATGTTGGTAAGGTGTCAAGGCAATTTTACCAGACTCTTTTTAACACCAAGACTCCAGCGTTGAAAAAGAGAACTTTATGGGCACGGGTGGGAATGTCAGATAACAGATTCCCGTTTTCCTCTTGGTTTTGTGCTTGTTCTCCCATCAGGAGTATGTTTCACAGCCATTTAAAACACTGGAGCTGAGCTTCCAGCAACAAGTCCATTAATAGCTCTGACTTCCAAGAGGTTCTAAAATTGGGTTAAAGATACCCTGAAGGCACAAATTGCTTTGCTGTTTAAGTCTGCCATCCAGAAGAGAAAATGTTTCGCTGAGAAACTAAATGCTGCTTGTCAGATCTGTTGATTCCCTGTCACCTATGAAATTGAGGTAAAAATGGTACTTTTCTCAACTGTGCCCAGAAATGCCACTGAAGTGGTTTGCATCTTCCTCTGTTTCGTCACCAGACTCGGAGCTGGGCATGGAGGAGGAGAAGGTCTGATTGCTGAATCACACAGGTCACGGCAGGGCTTTGCAGGCACAGCCGTGAGTGTGCAGGAGGAGCAGTTTGGACATCTTCTATCAGAGGGTTTGTGAGGAAAGGCTGCCAGATGTCCTGCTGTCTCCATCCTTGGCTGGACAGAGCCTTGGTTGACCAGGTTTCAAGCTGGGAGAGCCCTGCTTTCCCAGGAGGTCCATGTGGTGCTGTGCCTTCAGTGTTCCTGGGATTCAGAGGGGTCACTCCAGCCCTCAGCACAGCCACAGTGTCAGAGAAGCACGAAGACCCAGAGGGGGTTGCTGACCCTGGGCCAGTTAAAAGGTCCATGTGGCCTCCTCAGCCACGCAGGGCTGGCCCAGGGCTGACCATCCACGGCCATGAGACTGTGACCACCTCCTACCCACTGACTCATCCTTTCCCCATATCCCAAGCCCTGAGAAAGTGCTCTGTACCACGT